AGGACCTCAGTGTGCCAGCGCCACCGACGCGCCTCGAGTTTTCGCTCTTTGCGAATGCGCAAGCCAAAGCGCCGCTGTGCTCGACGACGATCCAGTGCCCGGGCAAGTCGTACCCCAAGCGTCTTCGCCAATAGTTTGCTCGCATCAACCAACTACGCTTCTCTTTGACAAGACATTATGTTCCATAATACAAGCATGACGGAATGTATGTTTCTTGAACCGGCTTTTTGAAGTCGACGACACAAATCGGGATCTTCAAGAGGCGTCATGCGCGCTGGCTGGGAGGCGGCTGTCGACTCGGCGAGCGGCAATACGTACTACTTTAACCGAAGGTTGGCTCGAGGCGGCGCGTCGACCAAGATATCATGAGAGTGCGTAGCTCGGGCGAGACGACATGGACACTGCCGCCGCTCATTGCGCACACGACCGAATCGGCGGCAACTTTGATCCAAAAAATGTATCGGGCCAAGCAAGCGCGTGCTCGGCTCCAGACAATGATGCACAGTATCTACCAGCGCATCTTTGATCCTACCACGCAGGCGTACTTTTACCACAACGTCAAGACGGGCGAGACCTCCTGGTGCATTCACTGCATGGGAATAGAATGTTGCTCAGGGCAGAGACTAGGATGACGCCGCGGGGGCTCAAGATCAAACCCAAAACATCGCCCAACGAAGGAGGCGCTGCCGAGGAGCCCGAGAGCTCACTGCCGCCTGGCTGGTCCGAGGCCTTTGATGACGGGACTCAGCATATCTACTATGTGAACGAGTCGACCAAAGAGACATCGTGGACGCGCCCGCAGGCAAGTCCGAGCTGGAAGCCCTTCGTGATGGACGAAGATGGAGCCGCAACTCTGCTGCAAGCAGCGTGGCGAGGGCGGCGCGACCGAGAGCGCGTCCGGCAGCAGCTCCTCGAGCGCTTTGTGCCTGTTCTCGACCCAGCAACAGGCGCGACGACGTACCTTGACGTGCAAACAAACATGTCTCTCGCGTTCGTGCAACACCTGATTGTACGAGAGGCAACTGACGCGTATCGAATCGTAGGGCGCGTCCTAATTTTCCTTGTACGCCGAGCAACCGAGCGATTTTGGCGGCATCAACCACCGCGGCGCCAAAGGATGAGATGGACGGCAGCGAGAGCAGTCGACGCTCCTTCCGCATTGGCCAGCGCACGTACCCTCGTTCGAAAGGCCAGGTACGACCGATGTCACATCTTGTTTGCCCGACACGACCAACGTAGCTCATTATTGATGCTGCCGAGGACCTCGAGCTAGAGGACATTCCCGTGATGGAGCTCGACATGAGTCGTCTGCAGGCGCTCAAGCTCACGAGTCGTATTTGGAACCTGGATCATTTGGAGCGTCTCCTGCTGAATGTACAATTCGTCAAGGAATACTCCTCCGACTTGACGATAGGAAAACCGACTCACGCGCATTCCGTCGGGTATTCAAGACCTCACCAAACTGGTCTACGTACGTGCGACACTAGTTCTCTTAAGCCTTAGTGTGTTGCTAGTTGAATGTGAGCCACAATGCTCTGGCAACGCTTCCACCCGGGCTCCAGACGACAAAGACACTGCAGCACCTCGACGCGTCGCACAACTGCATCGTCACCTTCTCGCCGCGTCTCTGGAAGCTAGGCAACCTCACACACTTGGACCTGAGCCACAACAAGCTGGTGGAGCTGCCGTATGTCGAAGGCGACCTCAAACTGTTGAAAGAAACGGGTGCGTGGGGTGTCGGAATTGGGCTTCTCTCCAAGCTGCACACGCTCCAGCTGCAGCACAACTCTCTTCGAGCATGGCCGCCAATGCTCGAAAGCTGCATGGCGCTGCGCACGCTGGACATGAGTGCGAACGCACTCACGGAGCTCAGCGAGGACGTGGGGAACTTGAGTCAGCTCGAATCGCTGGTCCTTCACCACAACCAGCTAAGCCGACTGCCCGATACGCTCGGTCTTCTTAGCCAACTGCGCACGCTGGATGCGTCGCACAACCTTCTGAATGATGTGCCAGCCAGGTACGAAATCGACGGTTTGCGTGTTTTATAGCATTTGGGCCTAGTATTGCTGATTGCACGCAACTTTCCATCTTGAACTTGACCTTCAATGCCCTTGCGTCGCTGCCTGAGGCCACCAAGGCGCTCGTCACCTTGACACACTTGCTTCTCTCGGAAAACTCATTTGTGGCATTTCCAAACCACCTTGCTGACATGCTTGCGCTCACGACACTGAACATGGCCTCGTGCAGTCTCTCGGCGCTGCCCGAAGGTTTCTGGACGTTTGCCAAAACACAGCTACCGAGTCTCTCGAGCGTCGATCTCTCGCACAACAGCATCCAATTTCTGCCGACAAAGGGTTTGACGCGCCTCAAAGGTGTGCTCACGACGTTGCGATTGAGCCACAATGCGTTGGAGGCGCTGGAGCCCCTTGTGTGCACTTGCCATCGCCTCACCGAGCTCTCTCTGTCCCACAACGCGCTTTCGACGCTGCCCGACGAGATTGCTGGCCTTAAAGGTACTGCGTTCCTACAGTCCTTCGCCAAGTACAACGTGGTGGAAATAGCGCTCGAAATCCTCGATGTGTCGTACAACCAGCTGCAAATGCTGCCAGAGACAGTGACCAACCTCGCCAAGCTCAAGACGCTTCGCGCCAATCACAATCAACTCCAGACGTTACCCAAACTCGTGGGTACGGCCTTCGACGAGTAGCATAACTTCGCATCGAGCGTGTCAATGTACTAGGTCGTTGGACATTGCTCGAGTATCTGGACGTGTCGCACAATGCGCTGACGCACTTGCCGTCGACTGTGCACGAGCTTCGGCGGCTAACTTTCCTCTCGGCGGCGTCCAATCAGCTCGTGCTGCGCCCACCGTACCTTCAGCACCACGTCGAGACGTTTGTGGATCTGAGCAACAACCCGTTCGAGACGCTCGACTGCGACTACCACGCGTACGTGACGGCCGTGTACAAGGCCAAGGCCGACGTCGACCGCGGCAAATACGCTTCCGCGCACGCGCTCTTCTCAGAGTTACTCTACGATACCAAGTTGCGGCCGTATAATTTGCTGCCTCCGACGCACCAGCATATTCGATCGGTCTCAGTCTTTTACCGAGGCATCTGCCGCTACCAGCAGGTAGAGATACTTCCCGCCTGAAGCCAACGTAAGACGTGTGGTAGATTATGACAGCGCTGCGGGAGCTCGAGCATGTGAGCCAAGAAGCCGCCGACGTCGCACGACTCGTGCACGAAGATGCACTGCTCCAGAACACACGTTGTCGCATCGGCGAAAAGCCCCGCTCTGTACCGCTGCGACCCACCGACGTTGTCCGCGAGTCCCAAGACCACATCGCAAACCTAATCGCCCAGAAAGGGCAACTTCGCACCGACATTGCCCTTTGGCGGGACGACGCCGTGCGCGATCTCAAGACGGCACTGCGCCTGCGTATGGAGCCTGCTACCTCGAGCTACACGCTTGCTATGCTGTACGCCAAGCTCGGCGAGGTGCACTCTACTCGTATATCTGCACATGAACTAGAGTTTGCATGTGTCTAGTATCCGAATGCGGTCCAGATGTGGACCACTGCAATGAGCCACGTGCCGACGGCACAGAGCGCTATGACGGACGGTGACGACAACGAGACGGTCACAACGGTACTTGTGCCACTTCTTTTGCACCGGGCCCGTGCGTACGCGGCCATGGGTCAGATCCCGCGGGCCCTTGTCGACTATCGGCGCATCCTCGCAGTCTTTCCGGATGACGCCGACGCCCAATTGGAGCTCCACGAGTGGAGCGAGCACCACCGCAAGTTCCACGAACCATGCGGCGTCGACAATGATGAGCTTCTTCGAGCGGTGAACGTTGATGTTGGCACGGGCATTGGACGCCGGCGCCACGACCCCGCGGTCCTCTCGCTGCCCACGCTAAACGAGATCGACTCGGCCTCCGCATTTCGTGAGGCCTGCCAGCGACTCCGCGACATTGCAGCGACAGCCCAGATACAAACGATTCAAGCCGAGAAGGCGGCCAAGGCAAGTCGCGACGCGGCGGTCGCACTCGTGCTCGATCGGAAGCGCGAGATTCGCGCCACCTTGGACATGCAGAACGAAGAGGTCAACCAGCGCAAGCGCGACGCTGCAATAGCTCGGGCTTTGTACATGCTTCAGCTGGAGCGCGCCCGCGAAGAAAACGAGCGCACGTGGATGGGCTACGAAGAGGACGTGCAGCGCTGGACCGAGCGCGAGCAAGCCCGCTTGCGCCAGGAGGAGCTGGACGCGCTCGAGGCTGCCAAGCGCAAGGCGGAAGAGAAGGCCGAGCTCAAGAAGCGAATTGCGCGTCGTGGTGGCCTACGCCAAGCATCGTCGACCCGCGGAAAGAGGAAATCGACTAAGTAAGCTCCGGCGCTTCCAAATTTGTAACTGGCGCAACTTCAAGTTGGTCCCGGGTTGTAAGTTAATTCCGGTGGGTGTATCCTATTCAGGCTCAATTGGCCTAGTTGAAGGAGTCAACCAGGACAAAAAAGGGCACAGCATCGTGCAACAACCACGGCAGTACCAGACGCTTGGCCCGACGGATGATAGGTAATGGACCTGGCCTCGCTGAGACCTCACGCGCGGCTAGGCGCTGCAATGACATCGGCGCGCTGCAGCCTCGTCGCTGGCGACGCAAAGTCCAATGCGTGGACAACGATCACGGCCGCGTGGCACACCCGGGACGGCCCGATCACGATCGACTGGACGCTGCCATCGGCCGTCGCACCCGGCGCCACGAGCCAACTTGTGGCCTGCGCAGATGCAGCATGCGTTGAATCTCAAGTTGTCGCTGGTGATGTGGTCATGGTCGGCGAAGCGCGTCTTCGCACGTCGTTTGGCACGTCGGAAGTGTTCGACGGTCCGCTCTCCGCGCAACTGATGGTCTCTGTCGGCGGCATGGTCGCGTACAACTGCGCAGCAACGGTCGAACCTGCGACGATGGTGCTCACGCGGCAGCTGCGAGGTCCGACGCCGGCGACTGTCGCTGCCGGGGGTCTTGAGATCGTCGCGCTTGTGTGCGGTATGACCGTCCTCGCCGTTCTTGGCATCTTCTCCAACATCTTTCGGAAGCGCGCCTCGAGTAACGCAGCGGTCACGCAGCCGACGCGGTCGCCAAACGTCAACAGCCCGACGCTCTTCTGCCATGGTATCGACGAAGCTGCATTGCTGCCGCAGGAAGCGACGTCGTCGAGCAGCGTGAGCGAGCTCTGGAAGACCATGTACCACGGCCACGTCGTCATGCTCAAGACGATTCGGAGCCACCACTCGCAGCCGTCGCAGGAAGACATTGAGACGTTCACGCGCGAAATCACGTTTCTCACCAAGTACCCCTCGTCCTTCCGTCCTAATTGCGAAATCTTATTCATGGACTTAGGCTGACGTCACCTTATGTCGTCAACGTCCTCGGTGGACGGTACCTCGCCACCGGGTCGATCCAGATCGTTATGGAGCACATGCCGCATGGCGATCTCAAGACACACCTCGGCACGACGCCGGCAGGCGGCTCGGCGTGGGAAGCCTACACGGAGCTTGCACTCGACATTGCCCAAGGCCTCTGCCTCTTGCACAGCTACGGGCTGCCGCACGGCGACTTGAAGAGCCGCAATGTTCTCCTTGGGCCTATCGCTGCCGACAGTGGCCGGGTCGGCTGCAAGCTCGCTGACTTTGGCCTCACTCGGTACAACCAAGCGACTCTCTCACGGTCCGTTGTCTTATGGCTGATGCTAGTACGTTGGAGCTCGACAGTCGCCAAATGTCGCAAGCCATCGGGCTCTACCGCTGGACGGCGCCCGAGGTCGTCCAGCAAATTGCGCTGACGCCAGCGAGCGATATTTACTCGTTTGGGATGCTTCTCTTTGAGATGGACTGCCGCGAAGTGCCGTACTGGAGCCGCCGGTCCCGCCAAGGCCAGATGCTCACCGACATGGCGGTCGCGATCGACGTTGTGCAGCACGGCATGCGCCCCAACTTCAAGTCGACGTGCCCCGTCTGGGTCGAAGAGCTCTGTCTCCGCTGCGTCGACCCAACACCCGCCAAGCGCCCGACGGCCACGCAGCTCCGTGACGCGATTCTCGATGCGATGACGAGCGCGAATGCCGATGACGTGGCACCGCTCCCGACGTTTGGGCCGTCGCGCTTCTCGGTGCGCGGCAACTACTCGACGATGCACCACAGCTCGATCTTGGATCTCATGGGCGAGAAGCTCAACCTGCACGACCTCCGCCCGTGGCGCGTGGAAGAAACGCAGCTCCAACCTATCGAAGAGATCGCCAAAGGCGCATTTGGCGAAGTGTGGCGGGGGCTCTACAAGGGCAACCCCGTCGCGATCAAGACGCTCATCGCGTTCGAGTCGCACACGCCCGAGGACCTCCAGGTCTTTATCGACGAGATGAAGATCATGACCACGTACGCTCCTTCTTATTCCGTGCTCGTGCGTCAGCTCCGAGGGTAATTGCGTAGGCTTCGGTCGCGCTACATTTGCCAGATGATTGGCGCGAGCTGGATGCCGTCGTGCGAGATCAAGCTCGTGCTCGAGTACATGAACGGCGGCGACCTCAAAAACTACTTGACGCGGACGGCGGCGGCCGCCGAGCTCTCGACCGCGTGGACGGAGAAGCTCTTGATTGCACTCGACATTGTCGAAGGGCTCTGCTACATCCACGACCTCAACATCATCCACCGCGACCTCAAGTCGCGCAACGTGCTCTTACAGAACGCGGGGCGTCTCTCGGCCAAGCTCACGGACTTTGGCATCTCGCGCTACATTGAGATGGATGGGCGCAGTATGAGCTGCGGCGTCGGCACGTACCGCTGGATGGCGCCCGAGATCATCTTGGGCAAGCACTACACGGTCGCGGTCGACATGTACTCGTTCGGCATGATCTTGAACGAAATGGACACGCACCAAGTGCCGTACTACAACGAGCGCACGCCCGAGGGCCAGCTCATCACGGACATTGGCATTGGCGACAAGGTCCGCCGCGGCCTCCTCCGACCCAAGTTTACCTCGTCGTGCCCGCCGTGGGTCCAAGCGCTGGCATTGCGCTGCGTCGATATGAACCCCAACGACCGCCCGACCGCGCGCCAAGTGCGCAACGAAATCAAGTGCCAACTGGACCCGGCGCTTTTTGAATAACCACCGTTCGAGTTCAAAACGCTTTGAGATTGCACTGTACATTCGCCATATCATCTCATGATGATATCGCTGCCGACAGCAGCTGCGAGGACAGTTGCCTCCACGAGAGTGTCCTGCTGCTCGGACAGAGCAAGGGTCCGTAAATGGACGCGGCCGGCGGACAGCGAGTGAACAACGCCGATGGGCCTTTGGAAGGTTGGATGGGGGACGTAGCTTCTGCGCTCAGGCAAGTAGGGATCGAGACGCGACCGAGCCTCGTCCACAGTCCATTCATGCCCCCATTACGCAAAGATCGCGATTTGCACTTTTTCTTTGAATTCGGATTTTTATGGGCACCCACCCTCGTGCTTCAATCATTGGGGGCCGGTAGGGGTACCCTCTTCTCCACGTCGGACCGCGAGGCACCCACAGCGATGATGGGTCCCATGGCACCAGTGGCCCCGGATCTCGCTGTCCCGCACTGCTACATAGCGTTGCCAACATGGGTACTACGCCTCGAGCGACTACCGTATGCACCACCGCGCCAAGGTCCAAGCGCCTGTCCAATGGCAAAAGCAGCGCGCCCACCCCGATCTTGCTGCAGGTGATCCACCTCGCGTGGCGGCGGATCGGTGCTGCGTACGCCAGTGAGCCTATCTCGCGTGCGAGATGGGTCGAGTCGAGATGGGTCGCCTGGGTAATACAGTACGCGGGTTGGTGCTCCCTTTTTTCTAGCACCCCCTCTGCGAATTTTGATTCGCAAGTCCAGTGGCGATTATTTGCGATGCGACGCGTGCTGCTACTGACGCTCGCCGTCGTGGCCGCCGACCCCATACCGACGGTCCTCACCTCGTGCGCCCCGGTCAAGGCTGGGCCAGGCCCAGAGTCGACGCCGCCCTGCCGCTTCACGACGGCCGCGGCCGCGACATGGACCAATGCGTCGCTCGTCATCGACTGGTCCGTGGCGACGACAGCAGTCGACATTGCGACCATCGCCGACGCTTCCATGGGCTACGCATTGCAAGGCGCGGAGGCCAACATGACGTGGCTTCCCGCGCGAATCACGGGTACCGGCGACAACGTCTCGGTGAGCATCCCGTCGCCAGCTGCCAATAGCGTACATCGTCTCGAGCTTGTGGCATTTGTGTACACCAGCGTCGAGCGCACAACGTTGCACGCGAGCTGTCTAGTGACAGTGCCAAGGAGCGTCATCGAGCTCCCACTGGCGGCAGCGTCGTCGGACGCGCCGTCGTCCGAGGACACGTCGTCATCATCACCACCACCCAAGACGCTTGTGGTCGCCCTCGCCGTCAGTGGGAGCGTTCTTGTTGCGCTTTTTATCGTTTGCTGCTGGTACCGAGCTCGAAAAGGCCGACCGAACGTCGACCCGCCGATGCCCATGACGCCACCCGCGCCGCTCAAGTGGCAAACGCAGTCGCTCGGGACGGCCTCGGACCCACGCACCAACTCGTCGGCGCTCATGCGGTCGTCGCGCGGACACGCGCACTCGACGGCGTCCGAGCCACTTGGCGAACTCTGGCGCGAGACGGAAGGGATCCACGTCTACGGCGGGTACAGCCGGCGCAGTATCCCGCTCGACGAGTACTATCCGAGCCCAACCCAGAGCTCGATTGCAACGGGGTACGACGACCCACGTACGACACGCGACTTTGACGGGTCGTCGTCCATCTTTAGCGCCGGCGAAAGCTCCGTGGACCTTCGGAGCACGTTTGGAAGCGACCTCTCGAGCCACTCGCAGCCAGTGTACGGGCGGCCACGGCCCGTCTCGGGCGCCAGCACGACAGCGTCGTTTTAATTTATAGCTTTGTATCAATGGTATCGTCCATCGGGTCGCGTCCTTTCCCGAGTTGTGGGACGGGGCAAAAGCCATCTCCAACGGTAGAAGGGCCATCCATTATCGATCGATCGAGATGACGATGGAGCTGCCGATCCACGAACGCGTGAATGCCATGAACCTGGCCTCGATGGCGGCGCCGGACTCGATCATCCCACTTTTTGAGGTCGCAGATAGCGCGCTGCTGGAGGCGTCGTTCCCGTCGCACGATTGCACGATCGCTTGCGACCCGACGTGGCTTCTCCTCGAGCCGCTCGCACCAGCACCAGCTGTTGCGACAGCGGTGGCCGCCGACCCCAAACCGAGCGCGCCGTCGGGCGAACGTCGGCGGCTGTGCAGCGACGTCGACTGTAAGAGCCAAGCGCGCGCATTCGGCAAGTGCAAGCGCCACGGTGGCTCGAAGCGGTGCGCCCACGCCGGCTGCGACAAGAGCGTGCAGAGTCGCGGCCTTTGTATTCGGCACGGTGGTGGGTCGCGCTGCAAGATTGCCTCGTGCACCCGGGCGTCCCAGAGCTTGGGGCTGTGCAAGCTGCACGGCGGTGGCCGGCCCTGCGCCATCGTCGGTTGCGACAAGAAGGCCCACATGAAGCAGCTCTGCCGACAGCACGGCGGCGGCGATCGCTGTTCGTTTCCTGGCTGCGATAAGTGGGTGCAGCGCCTAGGCATGTGCCTCAACCATGCACGCGACCGCGCTGGCGACGACGACTTCTTCTACTCCAGTACCGAGTCTTAACTATAACTACTGCTTGGATACGTGGCTTGCCGACGTGATCTTGGATGCGGTTGAAGCTAATGGGTGGCCGACCAAGCGCGTGTGTAGCGGTGGTCGTGCTTCAGAGGTTGAAGGCGAGGGCAGTACCAGTTGCTGTCAACTTCACGGCGAGATTCGGTCTTCCTGTCGTGGCAGCGTGGCATCTCACGGCAACGATATTCGTAATATTATTTTGCACGTGGATCTTCCGATAAGCTTATAAGTTGTATGCAATTATAATAATAGGGTGCTGGATACTTGAATAATATTATGAGTCCGACGTCGATGGTCGCCAGTTTGCAATTTGCCACCGCGGGACGAGGACGATGATGCTGCGCGGGCCGAAGTCGGGAACGCTCCATCTTCATGCGGCGCCAAGTGTGGATGCAAGTGACGACGGCGAAGACGACGGCCTATATGCACACATGAAGCCGAGCACGACTTACTGCTGGAAGCTGCGCCAGTCGAATCAAGCGACCGAGGTCCTCGTCGGTGGCCAAGGAAGCGCATGTGCGCTCACGATGACGCTCATGCTGCCGCGACTCCTGACGGGGATACCTACCACGGTACGAACACGGGCTCTTCTGCGTGAGCTGACAAGGGACAAGGTGACAGCCGCGTGGACCATCTCGATGATCCAATATCCTACCAGCAAGGCGCTGGGCCTCTCGGAGCTACGCGCTGCAATCGATGCGACTGGCATCGCTGGCGTCGAGGCTCTAGCGACGATACAAGCATGCTGGGCGCAAGGCCTTGCGTCTTGCGACCTTTTCTCGCTCGACACGTCTCTGCCAGCGTGTATGCTGGTCGTTCCTCTTGGCGGCGGCATGACAGACGACAGCTCGCGCAACTTCTCGGCGACTGTGCTTCTCGATCGACCGGGCGTCTACTGCTTGTATGCCCGCGTGGCGCTGCCAGTGTCGAAGTCGCTCGGGTTGTATGATTTTGCCGTCGTCCAGCGCACAGAGGTTCTTCTTGCACCGACGATACACGTCTCGTCATTGACATGGCTTGATGCGTACTGAGCCAGCTTCGGCCATCCATCGACCAGCTTTCACGTTCGGGGTCCACCGAAACGTCGCCGCCAGCATCGAGTCGCAACGCCGACGGTTTGCTTGCATTTCGCACCTCGCACCTCATTTGTGTTGCTGTTCGTAGACAAGTGGCCGGTGATTGCAGCGTCGTCCAGTCTTTTCGTACTCGCGCTGCTCGGTCTCGCGTGTCTCTTCTACCGGAAGCGGCACAATGCGCTCTTGTCGCAAGCTCGTGCGCCGAGTGACGACCGCGCGACACTTGCCTCCAGGGGCATAATGGTCAAGTCCAAGCCCCGGGTCATGTCACGCGTTCCCATCATCGAGTCGTCAACGCCTTTCGTCTACGAGTGTCCGACGGCCACGTGGGCCGGAAGTCCCGACGCCCGCTTTGACGATGATGTCTCGATCGATACGTCGTTTGTGTACTTGGCGGCCGACGTAGATGCTAGTGCAGTCTCAGACAGTACACTTGATACAACGTCGTTGGGCATTTGATCTTTGTCGAGGAGCGTCCGTCTGGTGAGTGCCTTAATAGAAAGGCCAGTCGACCGTTTCGCGTGTCAAGTATTATATTGGGTTATGGACCACGCCGCCAATGTCGTCCGCGCCGCAGCGCACCTCCGGGCCAAGATGCTGCCGTCCGAGAAGAAGTTGTTGACCAAGGCCCAGCGTCTCCAAGCCATCCTCAACAAGAAGTCCGAGCAGCGGTCGGCCGAAGGTATAGTCGTGCGGCGGATGGGAGGCTGTATCGAGCGTGGTATTTAGAGGTCGATGTCCTCTTCGAGTGGGTCGTCCAGAATGAAGCGACGTGCAAGCTCTTTAGCGGCATCCAAGACGTCATTTGCAAGACGATTTGCCGCGAAATGACCTTGTACAACGCTCCGCCCGGTACGGTGGTATGCTACCAAGGCGACTTTGGCGACATCTTCTACATCGTCCTCGCCGGCCAAGTCTCGCTCTACGTGGCGCCCAGCGAAGCCCATATGCCCATAGAAGACGAGCTGCGCGGACAGCTTGGTACCTACCCGGACGAGGCCTCACGCAAATCGCTCGGCATGTTCATTCGCAAGATTGGGGGCGGTGGGACGTTTGGCGAGCTCGCCGTCCTCGACCCATCGGCACAGCGGTATGCTTTACTAGCTCACAATGATAGACCATCATCGCCATGTCCAGGACGTGCTCGGTCGTGACCAACGTCTTGACGTCGTTTATTTGCCTGAAACGGGGTGCGTACCACCGCCTTCTCCGCGCCAGCAACGGCGACGAGATTACCTTTACGCAGTTTGAGTTTATCGAGGATTTGTACTACTTTGAGTCGTGGACTCACGGCGACATCTCGCGCCTCTCCAACAAGCTCAAGCTCCTCGCTGTGCCAGCGGATGTACGACGCTGTCGCGAGGTTGTATCTGAGGATGCGTAGAGCTTCTTACTGCGCCACGGCAACGAGGCCAACGCCATGTACTTCATCTACTCGGGCGTCGTGCAAGAGTCGCTGCCGATGACGGCGCTCGTCGATGACGCGGGCTACGTCGTCAAGTACACGCCCGTGGACGAAAAGCCAACCAAAAAGTCCAAGGCCGCCGTCGCGCCGGAAGAAAGCGTGATCCAAGGCATCCACTTTGGCGACCTGCGGCGGAAGCGCGCGAGCTTGGAAACGGCCTTGTACGAAGAGCACGATATCTGCGGGGAGCACGCCCTCGTTTTTAACGAAAGCCACAGCAAAGTCGAGTTGCGCGCCGGTATCCACCAAAATTGTTGTGGTTCTCTGGAGGACTGATACACAACGCGTGTCTAGTCACGGACGTCAAGGCGCTCGTGATGGATGTAGATATTAATGCAATTTGGCGCGAAACTAATGACGTCGACTAGCGCGCGACGTGGAATGACGTCTTTATGATCGACCGCCTCGACCACATTCTGGCGGCGCAGCAGCTCTTCCGGGAGATGGCGCTCGCGCGAGACCATTGGCGCCAAACGCGCATCGCGATCGCGTCGACCCACCCGCGTCTGCTGCTGACCATGTCTCTTGACACGAGGTAATGATGACTCAAGGCGGTTTGCTAGATCGACGCGCTCGATGATGAAGCATGCGCGGACTATCTGCGGCTGGTGCGGGTCCCACGACCACATTTCAGGTTCAATTCAATCGTCGTCACGCGTACGTTGTGTGAACTATGCCCCAGGCGACAGCGTGTGCTCCAAGGTCGTCGAGGCCAAGCACCAAGCAGCGATCCGAAAGCAGCGCAAGAAAGAGGCCGACGACCAGCGCATTTCAGAGGCGAAAGCCGACCTCCTCTTTGCTCGCAAACGCACGCCGCAGATGCTCCAGCAAAAGCTCCGCCTTGCCGCCCAAACGGTAGAGCCGCGCTTTGTAATCTCGTAGCCCTAATCTTCGGTCTAGGCGGCGACAACGGCGCATTTGCAACAGAAAAAGGCGGATCTGATGTCGCCGCGGGACCAATTGTACCGCGACTGGCAAATCGCCGCGACCAAGCAAAAGGCAATTGCCGAGGCCCGAGGCGCGTCGCCCAAGCTCCAGGTCTGTACGGCGGGCGCCCTGCCGTGTCCCACGCACCAGTGTAGGTGCCACCGACGCTCCGCACGTCCGTCAACTCGCCCCCACGGTCGCCCCATAGCTTGCACCGACACGGAGCATCCAAACCCACCTCACCGCGGAGCAACAACCAGCCGCCGCGACAGCTTTTCTACCTGCCATCGTCCGACGAGGACCACGGAGCGCGGCGCCCCGAGCTGGTGCCGCACCTGCCGCTTCGCATGCAGAACAACATTGCGCAGGAAAACTTGACCGTCGTGTACAAGACGCGTCTCCTCGAGAGTCTCAAGGTCCAGCTCTGTCGCTGCTGGACGATGCTTGAAACAGTGAGATAGAAAGTGCACACGATGGCCGAGTACCGCTCGCGGCGGGTCGAGGTCATGACGCAGCTCGAAACGCCGGGCGACGACGCGGCCTTGCCGCTGCGGCCACGCGTGCCGCGCAATCGGCGCTGGCGGCGCGGACAACCAACGCGGCTTGATCGGCGAGTGAACCGCGTGCTTCGACAGCTCTGGCCCGACGAGCTGCCCAAGATCGAAGAGAGCTTGCAAGCCATCAAAATTGGCGAATGAACGCGAATGGTGTCTATCGGTCGTCTACAACTAGGAGGAGGCGCGCGCCTTGGAGGCGTGCGCAATGGCTATGAGCTCGGTCAGGAGCGGGCGCAGCTCGTGCAATGGCAGCATCGTCGTCGCATCGCTGAGACCGCGCGACGGGTCGGGATGTGTCTCGATGAACAAGCCATCGACGCCGACTACCAAGGCGTAAGGGTGTGGTCGAGGGTAGAGAGCGTACCGGCGGCGGCCATGCGGGCGATTGTCGCAATGAATTCGCGGTCGCCGCCGCTTGTGGTGCTGGCGCCCGTGCGCTGGACGCTGTGCGTAATGTCTTGGACGACCAGAGCTCCGTTCGCGCGTAATTTGGGGATGTTGCGCGGGTCGACAACGAGGTCGCCGTACCCAAACATGGTGCCTCGATCGGTCAAGATGACGTCTGTATACGAGGCATCAACGCGGGCAAGCAAGAACGGGCGACGCACCGGCATGCCCCGTCGTTGTCGTGACCTTCTTGGCCGCGAGGAGCTAGCACGCATGTTTGTGAAACACGCAGGATGCGATTGCTCTACCATCGTGTCGGCCGAGCACATTTGTCCCTTCTTGATGTTGACGAGCTTGCCGGTGCGGGCGGCCGCGACCAAGAGATCGGTCTGGCACCCGTGAGAAAGTCATCCCGAGAGCGTTGCGGTACCTGTCGACAGAGGTACGCTGGGATCTGCACAATGTCGACGACGTCGCCAACCGCTTGCACCTGGTACGTCTAGTGGCAGTCGCGCATGAGCTACTAATGTCGACGTCCATTGCACGTTGCCTCGTGCACATCCGTGAGCAGCGGCAGTCCCGTTTCGGCCTTGACGGCCTCCAAGATCGCCAGCCCTTGTTCGAGACCTGGTCCGCGAAAGCTATGGTAATCGCAATACGCATATGCATCTTGCAAGCGCCATGTACCTCGCAATGTCTTGCCGGTTGGCTTTGTCAAAGCTGGCCTTGAAGACAACCGGGATCTGCAGCTCGTCGCCAATGGCCTTGAGGCTATAGCGCTGTCAACGCGGGTCATGCAGCGGACCATGGCGGCTACCTATGCGCGATCTCGAGCACGACGTCCTTGGACTCGATGACGCATGGACCGGCCACGAGGAAGAACGGGCTCGCCCGGCGCAGGGTGGCCGCGAGCATTCTTGGATTTTGATTCAATTTTGTCGGATTTTTATTCTTTTTCGCAGCCAACAAATAAAATCGATGGCGGCGCGGGAAGTCTACCCGCTCGTCCGGCGCCTCGTCGTCGGCCTCGGCAACCCGGGCGAGAAGTTCCACAACACGCGGTAGCTCCACCGCAATGGCTCCTCTCACGTCGCGCGTAGCCACAACATTGGCAAGATGGCCCTCCAGCACCTCTTTGCTGCGCATGGCGCTCCGCCATTCGTCGACGTCAAGGCCGTGCACGGCGAGAGCGCGGTGCATCAGCTGCGCTTCGACGAGCTGCAAACGCGACTTGGCGACGACCTCATTGATCGCATGTCGGAGCGGCGCAAGGCGCGAACTGTCGCCGAGGGCGTGCCGTATCCTGTCGTCGATGTGCATGGCCTCTTGCCGTCGACGTACATGAACCGCAGTGGCATGTCGGTCAAGAGCTACCTCAACACGCATCATTTCCGGTGCGTCGATCCTCGTCATGATCATGAAAGTTACATGAGGAGCGCAGGCTCAAGAACAATGCGCTCGTCATCAACAAGCACGACGAGCTGCTCGTGCTCACGGACGACATCACGCTGCCGTTTGGCACGTGCCGCTTCAAGCCCAAGGGCGGCCACGGCGGCCAGAACGGCGTCCGCGACGTCATTAAGTGCATCGCGTCCGAGAAGTTTGCGCGGCTCAAGATCGGCATTGGCTGTCCGTCGTGGTTTCTCGATCCGGCGAACAAAGGCAACCCGCCGCCAGGACTGCAGCTCGACAAGTACGTTCTCGGCAAGTTCCAGCCACACGAGATGGACGACATGCGCGCGCTCATGGTCTACACGTCGGCGCTGCTTCGCGTGTATGCCCATCGCGGCCTGAACGAAGCCACTGCGCTCGCCAACAGCACCGACATGAAAGCGTACAAGAAGGACAAGCCCAAGCCCAAGCCCAAGGCTGACTCGCCGCCGCCAACCAAGAAGCAGCGGTTAGACTAATGGGACGTTGTTGTTTAGCGACGGGCGTTGAAGTGTTAAATATATGGCAAAGGCAGCTGGCTACGACACGGTCGGCAGGTCGCGCTGGGACGCGAGGACCGCGACGTCGTCCGAGATGGCGCTCGGCCGGAGCTTGTACGCACCGCGCGAACTCCCGATCATGTCTTCCAGCAAGTAGAACGCCGGTTCGTCGTGGCCGTTGGCGTCAACGAGGCCGAACGCCATGTCCTCGAGCAGTTGCACTTGGTCGACGACGGTCGGGCCGTCGCTGACACCCGCGAACGCGTCAATGTCGGCGCAAGAGAGCGACGACGTCGACGCGGCGCGGGGCTTCCAGATGAGGAGCACGATGGCGAGGCCGACGACCGCGAGCACGATCGTGCCGATGCTCAGCGAGCAGATCAAGATGACGTTGGTCGCGTCATTTTCGGGCACGACAGACTTGTTGGCGGCGCAGCGGCCGAGCAGAGGCAGCAATGACAGGAGCACTGGTCGTCCAAGCATCGCTCGTCGTCGTTGTCGTCTTCGAGTGGCTTGGGTTCTGTCACGAGTAACTAGTAGAAAGACGGTGTGCGTCAGGAACTTGCAGCGAAGTTTCTCACCCAGCCATCGTCAGCAAGTGAATGCGTGATCGGCTGCTCCCGCAAGTGCAACGAGGCTCGGGCATAGGCAGGTGACAAGGCACGGCAAAGGCTTGACGAGCCTCTACCGGCATGTCTAGTGTATGTGCTTGCGACGCCATCGTCGATGGCGAAGCTCCTCGCCTCGAGCGTGGGATCTCGGATGTCAATTGCTGATGAGTTGGGACAAAGCACATGCGAGTAACGTTGCTGGCGGGTAAAACCTCCGATTTGTATCGAGTTACAGAGTTTGCCCGTGTCAAACTGGGCAAAACCAGGCCCCGTGGCTTGTCGAGCACGTTCCCGTCACGTTCCGCGTCTGCTTGACATTGCAGGGAGCTTGAACACAATGTGATGTGATGTAGTACGAGCCTCCTGTGCTCATGCTGGAAAGAACCAAGTTGCCGACCAAAGTGTTGGCGCAGAACGACATGACCAGAAATTGGCCCCATCAACCACAGGCGGGCCGGGCACTGAGCTACAGATGCTCCACGGCGCTATATCAAGACAGCAATCAAGACACGTGCTATGGTGCCTTGGTATGGCCTGGCCATTAGCGATTGTGGCTCTTGGCTCTATCGTATGCACTTCACTTCGCGTGCTGCTCGAATCAAATTTTGTGCTGTGTACATCCTTGAAGTCACCATGGACTGCCGACGTCTGGTGCTGCCACGTCATTTGCACATTTGTGTATGGAATATTATCGCTAGCTTATGACGCCTCGTTGTCCACAACCACAAGCTTGTTGCGCTTGTGCTGTCGAGACCACGCCTTGAGCGCCCGCGGCCAGCGCCCTGGCGTCACCACCTCGGCCGTTGTCGGCGCAGCGTCCGTCGATGACTCGATCGTGAGGCAGCACGGATACCACGCGGTCGGTCCTCGGTGCCGCTGGCGCGTGGCCACAAATGCGTAGAGTCTGTGGTTCGTCGCCATCCACTGGTACATGGCGGGCACAATCTTGCGCGCAAACGGTCCAAAGACGTTGGTGAGAAACGAAAGGAGCTCGGCCGCTGTGCGCTCACCGGCGTCAAAGGCCAAGCACTCGGCGTGGAGCGCATCGTATCGGTCGCTCAGCACCGCGCTCCACGTGGTGGCTACCGTGACGCAGGCGCGGGGGAGCTCCCCGGAGCACGTCGGGCAAAAACTGGCGCAGGATGCGCCGAGCTTCGCCCCGAGCGCCGCAAAGACGTCAGTTGGAAGCCGCGCCTTCCACGCTGGCAGCGGCATGGGCAAGATGCAAATCGGACAGGCGACGTTGGCGACAACGTCACTGGAGGCACAGGCGGCAGCGATGTACTGTGCGAGGCAGCTTGTGCAGACGCGGGCGGGGCAGAGCGCATTGCAGAGACCTCGGGTGTCGACGAGTGCGTCGGCGCAGAGCTGGCACGGCTGCAAGGCGACCGAGAGCAGTCCACGCTCCGCATCGATCCACTCCATCCTTCTCTTCTTTTCAGTCAATGGGAGACCTTTTCCAAAGGGTTGTGTAAAAGCGCGTCGAGCGACAAGGGCAAGGTGTATTTGGCACTTAGTATCTCGTCGCGCGGGCCAGCGCTTGGTCTTCTGGCCGCCCTCGGTTGCGATTCCCGCCAGCATGCGTCGGTGCTCGTCTAGGAGGAGGACATCCTGAGCCAAGGACACATGGCGAGCATCCGAGTACCATTCGCTCTCTCGATCGCGATCGCCTCAGTAAAACCCAGTCTTGTGCACGTCCTGGGACATGGGCATGTTCTGCGACTTGTAGTCGAACGTGTCTTGGCTCATGCCCGTCGAGAACTGCGAGAAGGACTGCGTTGCACCGGCTTGCGTGAACGGGCCATCGAGCATCGACTGCTGCGTCATCAGGAAGCCGCCACTCTCCTCTTGCTGCGTGAGCGGACCGGGCGCAAAGGGCTGGCGGCGGTTGCTACCGGCGCGCGGTGGCAGCGGCGGCGCACGGCGCGACGCCTCGTAGCGCGGGTCAAAGCGCGAGTCAAGTGGCGGCAAGGGGTCCTGACGCGTGTACGCCATGCCGCTGTTGTCGTACGCGCGGGTCTGGCGACGCGCGCGCGGCTTCTCGACCTTGGGGAACTGCATATAGGACGGCTGGAGGTTGTTGAGCGAGCCTTCGACGACGAGCTGGTTGTCGCGATAGTGGTTCAAAAGGTCATTCCAAAGCTCTTGCTTGGCCAAGACGCGGGGGTTGCCGAGAATGATGACGCCGTACTTGGCGCGGGTGAGTGCGACGTTGAGGCGGCGCTGGTCGCTCAGAAACCCGATGCCTACACGCCTCTTCGACATCTTGCAGCATAACATCAAGTACCTTGGTTTTCGTTGGAGCGCACGCACGAGAGGATGATGAGGTCCTTCTCGCGACCCTGGAACGAGTCGACGGACGCGACCTCGACGTCCTTGTAGAGCTGCGACCGCATCGGGCCGTTGCGCTGCATAAAGTTGACAATGTACGCGCGCTGGCCCTCGTACGGCGTGATGACGCCTGCGTCCGCTCGTCAGCTTGAAAAATGGCAAACATGCGTACCGATCTGGGACGGCTGGACGCCGGCCTTGAGGAAGTGGGTCACACACTTTTCGCAGTGCGACGCTTCGGTGCGGTTGAGGTACGACGTGCCGCTCGAGCTAATCTCTTCGGCGCCAAGCGAAATGTAGAAAAACGTGGGTTTTTGCGGGTTGGGCCACGGGAACGCCACGTGCTTGAGGATGCGATCCGAGGTGCTCACGCCGTTTTGGAGCTCGCCCTCGTAAAACATGTTGGAGGGGAACTCCGAGAGGCACGGGTGCATGCGGTACTGCACGCGGAGGCGGAACGGACGGTGCTGAAGCCGCAAAAGCCGGTCGAAAAGCGACTGGTTTAAACCTGCTTTGGCCGCCTTCTTGCTCATGACCACGGGCCCGAGCTGCATGTGGTCGCCGACCATGACCACGTGCTTGGCGCCCTGCACGATCGGGATGAGACACTCGGGCTCCGTCGCTTGCGTCGCCTCGTCGATGAGCACTTGGCGGAAGCGAAAGTTGGCCAAGCGCGGGTCGCCTGACCCGACGCACGTCGTGCAAATGACGTCGGCGGCCTGAAGAATCTCGCGCTCTGCGTTGCGCTTGAGGGCCTTGAAGCGCTTCTCGTCCTGCGACGAGAGCTCGCTACACGTTGGAGAGGTTGATATACCGATAGAAAGAGAGGCAGCGTACCCTTGGTCTTCCTTGAGCTGCATGAGCTTGCGCAGATCGGCCTTGTCTGGGCTGTCGAGGCCCTTGATCATCGCATGGAGACTGAGGTGCTCGACGGTCGACGCGACGGCCTCGCGGCTCTTGGCGGCAAGGCGCACGACCTTGAGCCCTGTGGCCGAAATCTTCTCCGTCAAGTGGTCGACGGCAATGTTACTGGGCGCCGTCACGAGCACTTGGCCGCTGTTTTGCTTGACGAGGTGGTATACGACCGACGCCGACGTGACCGTCTACCGACAGTATTGTGAATATGAAACGAAGTCTTCGTAGAAGGGGTACCTTGCCCGTGCCTGGCGGGCCTTGGATCAAGCTCAACGACTGCGTGAGCACGCCTTTCACGGCTGCGAGCTGCGACGGGTTGAGTTCCGGAAGGCCGGGCACCGAGAGACCGATCGTGGCCGTCGACCGCGCGGTGCGCAGCGTCTGCATCTCGACGTCGTGGCCGAGGAGCTTGTGGTAGAGGTACCCCGTGAGCGACGTGTCGTCGACGGCAAACGTCTTCATCGCGCCCTGCATGCGGTCGAACGACGTCGACTTCCACACAAAGTCGACGCAGTAGCCGTCGGTAATGTCCACCTGCGCAGAGACATGGTGGATGGAGAGCTATACAAGAAGGCGACGCACCGGCACGTGCGAGTTGCGCATCTCGAGTGTGACCTCCGACTCGTCAAAGCGCAGGACATGCCCCGTGCCTTCCCAGTCCTTGCCGTACATCAAGGCCGAGCCCGGCCCGAGGCGAAGGCGGATCTCGTCGCCCGGGACGAGCCGGAAGTCCGTGTCCGGGCGGCTCGATGAGAAGATCGCGTTGCGCTTCTTGTTGAGGCCAATGTCCCAGCGCACGAACACGTTGTCTTGCGTCTGCGCCTCCTTCATCTTCTTGTCGTAGTCCGACTCCATCTTGACGAGCGGCCCGAGGATGTTCTGGTACTGGTACCCGTCGTCGTACCGGTCCTGGACCGCGTTCGGCTCGTCGTCGACGCCCGGTCGGTCAAGGTCTTCGAGCGTCGCCTGGGGGTGCTCGCGCCACACTTCTTCGAGCTTGGCGATCTGGGTTGCCGTGATCTGGCGCGACCGCAGCTGCTCGTGCTCCGTCGGCACCTTGACGAGCCACGGGAGGAAGCACCGATCGTCGATGAGCGGCAGCCACTGCGACATGTCCCAGCTCAAGTCTTTGAGCGCGTTCATTTGGAGGCACGGGTCGCGGCAGAGCAGTACGACGACCGAGTCCTGCTTGGCCGGAATGAAGCCGAGGAGAAAGACGTTGCGGCAGCCGCAGTTGTAGCACTCGAGCACCGTCTCGCCCAGCGGGCTGTCCGGGTGCAGCGCGACCTCCTTGTTCTTGGAGCGCACGAGGTGCTGGATGATGTGGCTTCCGCTCGTGTTGCCGCGCGAGTTGCAAAACCACTTGTCCGTCGAGACGCACTTGACGACGCTCGCGGGATCGTGCAGGCCGCAGTAGGCACAGGCGTGGCTAGGAAGCTCGACAGGCGCATCCGGCATGCCACCGTCGTCGTCGTCGAGGTCGAGCGACGCGAGCATGGCCGCGTCCATCGAGAGGTCGATGTCCGCGTAGCCCATGGCGGCCGACGAGAGCGCGCCTTGGTGCTGGGCCTCGGGGACGAAGTCGTCGTCGTCGTCGTCCTGCTCGACAAAGGCGTACGAGAAGCTGTCGAGGTCGGGGTCTTGCTGGGATTGCATCTTGGTCCAAGCTTGTAATTGACGGTCGCCGGGCCGGGCGAATTTGCACCAATCAGGAGCCGCGGAAACGCTAAATTCACGCCACCTTAGCCGCGCCACCCACGATCCGACTGCACGACCGGCCTCAAGTGTGCCCGCCCCCACCACAGTATCTCCTCTATCGACCGAGTTGAAGGTATGTCAAAGAGTCTCTAGCATAGGACCGAGTCGCTATGCGAAGACGACTGCTCTATCGAGAGCTAATACGTCGGCGCCGACCGCGCGATCGACTTGGCGCGGTCTCTTCTCGACTGTGGCAGCGGCAATAGCTCGCCGTCGAGGTATTCGTACATGATTGGGACGCCTACAGATAACGTTCATATCCAAGCGACCTCGGCTGCTGCCAACCTGTGGGCGCGAGGAGGCGGCAGGCCGATGGATCCGTCTTCTCGAGCTTCATTTGCGCGTTGAAGAAGTCTTCGTCCATCTTCTCGAACGACTTCATGAGCGTTCGCAAGACAAAGCCGTGGGTCGAGACGAGCACGTTCTTTCCGGCCGCGAGCTGGGGCTCGATGAACTGGCGGAAGAAGGGCATGACGCGCGCCTCAATGTCGGCGCAGCTCTCGCCCTTCTCGCCAGGAAACTTGAGACCAAACTCGTTGCGGATCGGCGCGAGGTTGGTCGGGTGCTGTGTCGACGGCACGCCTTGGAGCGACCCAAAGTTGCGTTCATTCAGCGCCGGCGTCACGTACACGGGAATCGCAAAGTGCGTCGGGTCGTCCACGTCGTAGAGGTCCTCGAAATCCGGACGCTCGAGCGGCGAGTTGTACACGACGATGGGCGTCCGGCCACTCTCGTGGATCGAGAGCGCGAGCGAGACCTACGACGCCTGAGGCATCATTCTCCTACATCGAACGATCTACCGTGGCCCGGGCGCGGTCCATCTGCGAGCAAAAGACCAAGTCGAGCGGGATGTTCTGGAGCGACTCGCCGGCCTGCAGCGCCTCTTGGATGCCAACGTCCGAGAGCGGAATGTCCACCGTGCCGGCGTAGCGCCACGGGTCATTCGGGCGGTCGGGCTTGCGGTTCCAGACCGACTGCCCATGGCGCATGAGGATGAGCCGACCTGCGCTCTCCGCGTGCTTTTCCGTGTAGATTAGTGGCAAGTCGCTCTCCCAGACCATGCTGTGCGAGTGCGGCAGCACGTGGGGCTCGGGCGCACAGCAGCTCTCCTACACAGTTTGGCATGAGCGACGCGACGCAGGTGGCAGCGCCGTACGCAGGTGATGCTGGCCTTGCGGATGAACTTGGTCGATGGGCCCTTCACCTCGGCCTCGCGCCGGCGCTGCAGGTACATGCCCACGCAGAGGCCGACGGCCGTACACAGCACAAGCTCCTTCATGCCACACGAGCCGCCTTGGATACGTTTCTGATCGGTCCTATTTTCAGTCATGGATCCTAGTCGAGTTTGTTCGTTTCGGTTTATCCTAAATATGCTGTGGCTGCAGCGCGCGTTTCCATTGGTACATATTGGCCAATGGAAAGCGTCGGTTCAGCGTGTCGGGTGGTCGATCTTGGGGCGTGTAATGAGTCGCGCGCCTTTCCTGCTGTCCACAATCCCCTGACTTCAAGGTCCGTCCCACAGCCCTCGGTGGGATGCGCTTCGTGTCGGCGACGCAGCAGCCTCCTCTTGCTTGTCTGTGCCCCTGTTAATATCGTCGGGTGTCGGAGCATCGGGGCGGCAAGAGATCACACTTCAGTTTTCGACAGGCGCGAAACGCTGGATCCGACGTGGATTGGTTGCATTTCATCCAATCACAGTGCACTGAGCTTCGATTTGAAGCCGCTGCCACATCAATTGCCAGCGGGTACACAGTACGATGCGCGCGGCTGCGATCGTCGAGAAGCGGAAGAAGCTCTCAAAGCAAGTGGCTTCTCTCCTGCGACGTGCAGCATAGAGACGGCAGAGCAGCGAGCGTACGCACGTGGTGAAGAAGACCACTCGGTCCACCACGCTCGGACGCACGGCGCTCCTAATTAGGCCGAGATCGGGTGCATAAAAATAGTCGACCGAGTATACAAACAACAAGTGCAAGGCATTTAATGCGTGTCAAAGAATTTAGGCGTGACCAATGCGTTTTTCTCACATCACGTGAGAAATGCCAGAGGACTGCCACGTACCACGTGAAAAATACAACGGCGCACGCGCTTCAACGGGCGTCAAACACGGACGCTGCTTGTTTCTAGTCCCAAAGCTTCAGCATGACATACCGCATTAGCTTTGGCACTGGCGAGACGAGCGAGAACCGCAAATGCGAATTCTGCAAGCTATTCGCCTACACTGACGTACAAGACCTGTCCCATCACGATTCGACCAGCCCGCGGTTTCGTGTCCAACGACCAGGTTAGATTGCCGCGTATCAAGACAAATAGCAGCGGCTGCCTCCATGACTGGCCCCAACGTGGTGAACATGTTTACCCAGCCTTCGCACAGCTGCCGCGAAATGCCTGTCTGCGATCCAGTGTTCACGAAGCAGATCCACCCACGTTCGACATCAGGTGGCTACCGTAATGACGACCTATCCTCATGGAAAGAGCGCGCCTCGACGAGGAACGATGAAGAGCGCTTGGGCCGTGGACGTTGTGGCGACAGTCGCCTCGTGCTGTCCACGCTGTCAGTCATGCATTCTGGTTTGCGGGGCGACGTGAAAAATCGGCGAGAAAACCACGCGTGTTCTTCACGTCGATTCCCACGCACCAGGAATAGGACCGAAGCATAAGGTGAAACAAGGCACTGGTAATTTGGGCCATTTGGTTAATTCGGGCCCATCGCCCACCGACGTCCGCGATCGCGCCGCTCCCGTACCCCCGCGTTCCGTCGCCGTATTCCCCGAGGGAGCAGAGACGCATGCTGGCTACCGACAAGAGCGCCAAGTGGAATCATGGCAACCCCCATGTAGGCGTCCTCTTCCGCCATCAAGATCATGCTAATGGCATCTTCCTAGGACATGGAGGCCAACGTCCCGCTCTTTGAGCGCGAGCGCCGGCAGGACTCGCAGATGGTCATGCGTCTGCAGAACGAGCTCCAAGACACGAAGAAGGCGCTTGAGGCGCAGACGCGCCGCCACAACGACCTCGAGTACGTCAACGAGGACCTCGAGCGCCGGCTCGAGATCGAAGCCCGCGAGCGCATCAACATGGAAGCCAGCCGCGCGGAAGACGAGCGCAAGTGGGAGACCGAGCGCGCGCGGCTCCAAGAAGAAGCGCGCATGTGGGAGCGCAAGTGCGACGAGGAAGCGCGCCGACGCGCTGTCATTGAAGAGCGCCTTCGCCGGTCCGACAAGGAGCTCTACCGCATGCTCCAGAAAAAGTACGACATTGAAAAGACCGTCCGGCGCGAAGAGAGCGAGAAGCGCAAGCACGAAGTGCTGATCGTCCGCTCGATGGAGACGCAGCGCCGGGCGTCCAACACGAGCATGCACGCGAGCGGCAGCGCCTATTTAACACCATCGTCCCACCACCCCCCGTCGTCGTCGTCCAACCCGAGCGAGGCCAAACCCGCAGCCGTCCGCGCGCGCCAGGCGCTCGCCTCGGCGTTCGACTTTTTCGGCTTGTAACATCATCTTGCAATCAAATTTACTCCATTCTTCCATATACATGACGCATTCTAGGGTGCAGTAGCATGTGCTCTCTCCTTCTCCGCGACGAGAAGCGTGAGCAGCTCTTCAATGCGGTCTAAGCGCGCTTCGACTGACGCGCCCGACGACTCCCAGGCGGACCGGGCCGAGATCGTTTGGTCGAGCGGTGGCTCTTCCGGTCGCTCGACGGCGCCGATCGCGTGGAGATTGCGATGCAGCATGAGCTTTTGAATTTCGACTGCAAAGGCCGGGAACTGGTGCATGACGCTGTCAAAGTCGACCTTTGCGAGCACACCAAGTTCGCAAATGGTCTTGGCGACCACGGTGCGCGTGCGCTCGACGGCCATGAGGAGACCGACTTCACCAAAGAAGTCGCCTTCGGTGAGCACCACGTCCGTCTCCTCAAGCGAATGGGCCTCGGCGAGGACGACGACCGACCCTTTCGAAATGACAAAGAGGTCTTTTCCGAGCTCGCCGCGCGTGATGATGATGTCGCGCGGGAGGTAGATGACGGTATGGAGGCACATGCAGATGAGCCCGAGGAGCTGGTCATTGGCGGTCCGGAAGAGCGGGATCTTGGCCAGCATGTCGCGGTACATGAAGATCGCAATCTCCTTACGGAGCGGCTCCGACATGCCCTTGTCTTGCAGCAGCGTCACCTTCTCCGTCGCGCTTCCCTGGTGTGTCCAGAGGTACTGGTGGTACGTTTGGATCCGATGCTATCGACACGTAAGAGTATCGCACGAGGACCACCGCGTACGCGAAGGTGCTCGGGCAGCTGCAGGAACTCCATTTCGTGGTTGATGATGTCGATGCGCTTGCGGAATTGGTACCCCGCTCGGTTCCAGCTACGCTCCTTTCCCTGAGGAAAAGGAGGTTGCAGGAGTCATACCTCTCGACGACGAAGACGCAGCTGCCGATCATGATGGCGCAGAGAAGTATGCCCGCGATCGCCAACAAGTTGCTACTCGTAGTGGTGCCACTTGTTACATCTATCGGAAACGTATACCTCATGACGAGAAGGCCGTCGGGGATCGTCGATGCATTGAGATACGCGAGACGGTACCCTCCGCAGAGCGGGTCGAAGGTCGCATACACATTGTCGAGCGAGGCCAGCGTCATGATCGAGAGCGCGTAATGGAACCCGAGCGAGTAGGCTTCAAACACCTACGCAGTGTCAGTGCTGCACGCAGTGGGGTAGGGTACGTTGCTCGGGTCGCAAAACATGTGGAGGTCCTGGGGGGCCATGGGGGGGACGTTCTCGCACGGTGCCATGGCCAGGATCCAGCCGCAGCTAGACACATGTGTAGGCACTGTACGGTGATACAACGCACCCTGCAATGTGCACGGCAAAGATCAAGGCCGAGAAGATGGCCACGGCGCCTTCATAGCGCTGGAAGCGACGAAAGCGGCGCACGAGTTGCGACAAGCGAAGCATGCGCGGCAACTAGATCTCACATATGATATGGGTGGAACTTGATAAATCGATACCTTGATGTACTTGAGCAATTTGACGCTTTTTCGGGACGATTTGCTGCTGGGCACGAGCCACTCGGCGGGAAAGACCGAGATGAAGTCGACGAGGAACCACGATTTGAGATACTTTTGGGCGACGAGGCGCGGGTCGTCGATGATTTCGCCGTAGACAACGACAGCGGTGCGGAAGCTGAGGAGCATGTCGGCAGCGAAGAAGATGTCAAGGACAGTATGGAACGCAGCGAGCTCTGACGTTGGCGTCCACCACACGATCGCGACGTTGAAGGGAATGTACCAGCAGAGGTAGATGACAGCGGACGCGAGGAGCATATCCCAGACGCGTCGAAAGAGCCCGAGCGGGTTGATCATGAACGGGCGAAGCGGCAGCGTCGGTGCCAGACCGTACCCGAGGCTCGATTGTCCCGGGCGCCGCGTTGCCACTGCAAGCCACTTGTCGCGGAGCCCCATCGAGAAGCGCAGATCGCCGCGCACAGGGTGCGGTTTCGGTAGCTTGACGGCAATGTCGTTGCCGAGGTCCACGGCAACGACAGAGCTCGCGATGGCCGCGTCACGTACGCTCTCGGTCATCGCAAGCAAGTCTGCGACTGCCTTTTGAAGCGCGAAACCCAAAACGCGCGGACCGTTTCAATTGCACTTTATTTTCATGCGACGTGACGAGTACACGGTCGCGCCGTCGGTGCCAGCACCGTCGCGACGCGTCTACGCGTCCACTACGACAGCTGACGGCAGAGCGTCATCGTCCGAGCCGCGGCGGTCGTCGACCATTTGCACCGACGCCCTCGTCGACCGCACCGCGTCCGGCAAACTCGCGGCACCCACGGCACCGGGCATTGCGCCGCCGAGGCGACGACAGCCCGTGACGCGACCCAGCGTCGGTCAGCGGCTTCTTGCGTCCGTGCACAAGGCGACGGTTCAGCGCACGTTGACGGCGGCGTTCAGCACCCGGCGCTGCAACCCCAATGTGCTCCGCCAGACAATCGAGGAGCTCGAGCGAGGGCTGCAGTACAAATACGTTTTGCATCCGCTATCGAATGCGAAAACGACGTTGGACCTCATCTCGGTGGCCCTTGTCGTCGTCTACTGCTGGCTCGCGCCGCTCGAGATGAGTTTTGATTGGTGGCATCCGCCCGACGGAGTGACTTACTTTATGCTCTTCCTGGACGCGTGGTTCATCTTGGACATGCTGCTGCGGTTCCGGACCGGCCTCGTCGACTGCGGCGTCATCATCATGAACCCGCGCATCATCACGACTCACTATATTCGGTCGTATTGGTTTTACGTCGACGCGTTCTCGTCCTTCCCGCTCGAGTTCTTCATGCCAAGCGACACCGCCACAAGTGCATCGACGCGCCACTCGGTCAAACTCATGAAGTACTTCAAAGTACAGGCGCTCCCTTACTTGGTGGCATTTCTTACGAGATGCGGTAGATTCCAAAGCTTTTGCGCCTCGGGCGGCTCCTCAAGAACGTCCATCGGTACCGCGGCTACGGCGGCATCGTCACTGTGTTTGGTGCGCTCTTTTTCGTTGCACACTGCGCTGCGTACGATTAACTCAGCGTCTCGGTGTTTGAGATTGCTCTCTAGCTGCATTTGGGTGCTGCTCGTCGGTCCGTGCCCGGACGGATCGACGGACAAACTGTGTGCAAACGACCAAGTGCGTCATCTCTCTCGGCGGCTGGCTTAGGTGACGACAACGTAGGTCATGAGTGTGTACTTGCTCGCGTTCCACGTCGCGCAGTCGGCCCTTCTCGGCGGCAACCTTCAGGCGCTCGTCAACAACGACACGGTCGTCGACGGCGCCTACCGCACGGGCACAACGCCTCTCTCCTTGTACGTGTGGGCGGTCGTCATGCAGCCGCTCAGTGCGGTCTTTATGGCGCTCATTTTCGGCAACATCATCCACCTCGTGCAGAGGTATTCGAATGTGGACAAGTTGTCCTCGCAAAGAACGTGTACTAGTGTCAACCGCACTGGCAATGCGTTTCGCAAAAAGATGGACCAAGTGCACCACGAGATGGACTCGCTGAACTTGCCCAAGCACCTTCGCGTACGTGGTTGTTGTGGCATGCTCTGTCCCAACGCGTGGTAGCAACGCGTGTCGTCGTACTACGACTACCTCTGGCTCAACGTACATGTGCATGCACACGAGGAGTCTCGGCTCTCACACGCGTAGAATCGAAACCTCTCGGAGAACATGACTCTGCTGTCTGACGAAGGCATGTCGCTGGTCCTGCGCCGCCAGATCGCCATCTACCTCTACAAGGAACAGCTCTTGAAGATCCCGTTCTTCCAGCACGCGACAGACGACGTGCTTGGCATGATCTGTATGCTTCTGCGTCAAGTGGTCTACATGTCGGGCGACTACATCTTCCAAGAGGTCATTCGAGCGTCTCTGCGTCTGTCTCATTTGCTCCTTCAGGGTGACATTGGGAAGGAGCTCTACATGGTCGTGAAAGGCTGTGTTGAGGTGCTGCCGTCCGCGTACCCGGATCCGTTGACCGCCGACGCCCACACCCGCCTGCCGCACCAGGAGACGGTGCTCCTGGGCGACGGCGATTTCTTTGGCGAAATCGGTCTCGTCATGGAGGTAGGTCTCCCAGTTTATATGGCCTAACTCGAGAGATAGGTATATCGAACGCGCACCGTGCGGGCTGCGTCCATGGCCGAACTCTGCATTCTAACGAAAGAGGTCAATAATGCATTGCAGCACCAGCGTCGATCCAACTGCAAATCCAACTTTGTAGGGATTCAACAGTGTTCTGGGCGACTTTCCCGAGTTTGCCATTGAGATGAAAAACCTCGTGGTCAAGCGCATTGCGCTACTGTACGGCCAGCACAACTTGTCGGCCGAGACGCTTGCACGCGTGACCGCCGTCGCAGAGCGCAACCTCCAGAAGCGCATCAATGCCTACGGGTCGTCGCGGCGCAAGATTGAGCGCCAAGCAGAGCGCGCACTGGGTGGCCGCGATAAACACAACTTGCAGCACCAGCTCCGAGGCTTCGTGGTGCCAACCAGCGGCGAAGGTGAGACCAAGACGTCCGACAAGAACAAGCAGGTCGACGACGACGACGTGTCGAGTGACGCGGATGAGAAGCTCGTCGCCAACAAGGTCTGGACGATCGCCAAGCAGCTCCAGACACTCAAGGCCGAAACGAAGCTGCAAAACGAGGCCCTCCAGCGCAGCATGGAAAGCGTTGCTGCGACACTGTCTGCTATGCAACGCCAGCTCGAAATATTGCAACCAGCTCCAAAGAGCTCTTCGGCGCTAGGATAGCCGAGCGGTGTAGCTCTTGATGGGGTACAAGTACCATTATATTTTAGTTTGTTGTGTCGAGGTTACGCCTTCTTTGAACTTACCGCTCAACTGATTGCGCAAAAGACGGGCGAGGTGTCGCGCGCCCTAGTTGGTCTGAGTTCCATGGAGTCGTGCTGACAGGAGCCGTACAAGATGACTTGGCGGGGCGGGTGGATGAGGTTGATGGCGCCACACTCGGTGCAGGTGAATTGACACCCGACCCGCGGGTTCTGCACTGAATGGAGGGTCTGGCACGACCCGCAATTGAACGGGGCCTGGATCACGGGCTGGGCGATGACGTAGCGGCGTCCGTTGAGCTCATCGTGCAGCTGCCGCGCGATGGCCTCGTCCGAGCCTGTTGCTGGCAACGTGGGCTACACACCCACCCATGACCCATGGACATCAAGTGTTCGTGACGTACCTGCTCAGAGCTTTGGGTAGAAAGCAGGGTCTCGGAGGGACTGGAGACCTAGAGAAAACAGTAGCCTTCCAGTACAGACCATCGCAGTGCCTACGCTGCGACCTGGGTACTCTGACATACTTTAATCAATGGCTAACAACACGAGACGTATCGACCCGCCATGTTGCGGTTGGCGGGTGGGTGTATTTAGAGGAAGGTTCAGCGTTGTGCTTGGCATCACCAAAAGGGTGTGCTATGCAGCAGCGATCTATGTGCTATCCACGAGCTGTTCACCAGCGAACTATCCACGCCTAAAGCTCACGCTCAACAAGATCACTGATAAGGTCAAATTTGCCATCTGGATACAAGTTGCGTGTTGTTAGACTTTACGGTTGATGGATTGATTGGCATGGCAGCCCATGCGGAAGGGCGAGCGACGATCGCCCAAGACGAGAACGTCTTTCTCAGCGCTCACCAGGTGCGCTTCTTTCAGTAGTGCATGCTCAGCAGATGGATTATTTGTAGGAGCTGCAACGCGACTTGACCGTCTTGGTCCTGCAAGCCCTCGCCGCGCAGCGCCAGCTACCGCGGTCGTTTGCCGCGCTCGACGCCATGGCGGGCACCGGCATTCGCGCCATCCGGTACGACCCTCGCTCTTGTCCAAAGCTACACGTGCAACTAGTTATGCGCTCGAGGTGCCGGGTGCTTTGTCTGTCGCCAACGACCTGGACGCCGCGGCGCACGCTGCAATAGTACTCAACATTGCTGAGAACGGCGTCTCGGACCGCGTGCAGGCGACCCGAATGGACGCTGTCGAGTGCCTCTGGAAGCACCGAGAACGCTTCCACGTGGTCGACCTCGACCCCTTCGGAACATGTGCGGCGCTGCTGCCGAGTGCGATTGCCTCGGTTGCTGTTGGTGGCGTCGTCTGCGCCACCGACACGGACATGCACACGCTTCTCGGAAAGAATGGACCGTCGCACGCCGAGTGTTTTCGACGCTACGGCGCGCTGCCGCATCGTGCTGGGCCGTGCCGCGTCACTTGCAGCCGACTGCAACCGGTCGGTGACGCCGCTGCTGTCGACAGCATTTGACTTTTTCACGCGCGTCATCTTTCGTGTACAAGAGGCCGGTGACGCGCCCCGCGTGCCGCTCGCGGTCGTCGACCAATGCACGCGCTGTGCACACTTTGACGTGCACGAGCTCGGCGCTGATGTGACCTGCGCAGCGCAATGTCCCATCTGCAACAACGCGCTGCAGGTAGTTGGCAAAAGGCGTGCAGGCGCAAAATACTTGCTACGTGTAGCGAGGTGGTCCGTTCTGGATGGGGCCGCTGCAAGAGCGCAATGTCCTCAGCACGGCGGCGTCGATGCCAGGTCTGGACGCAGCGCGGCGGTAGGACCTCCAATTGAGATGTGACGTGATGAGTGCTGTAGGTACTTGGATGGGATTTTGCTCGAAGAGCCGAGTGCACCATTTTACTACTCGGTGCCGCGTCTCTTTCGCGCGTTCAAGCATGTTCAGCCCCCGTCGCTCGCTGCGTTCAAGCACGCTCTGCGTTCCATCGGTCATGACGTGACCACGTCCCACCTGGACCCAATGGTATACACGTACACTTTGATTGGCCACTACGTATGCACACGTTTGGTCTAGTCTATCAAGACGCGGTCCACATCGCTCGACGTATACGGTGTCGTCAAGGCGTGGCTCGTCGCACAAGCCCCATCGACGGCCGAGTTGCCATCGCTGTTGCCATCGAGCCAAGCTGTCTTTTCGTCAGCAACCAGACACAGTGCGTCAAACGAACTCGGATATTGTCTCCACATCTCTTGCGTCGTAGGAAAAGACGAGGTTTGGGCGACACCTACCAAGTGCACGCGCCAGCACATGGAGGACTGCAGTTTGCTGCCGCCGAGTAGTGCAGCAACACAGCTGCCATCGACATCGCTCGTTTCAGTGGGCGCCACCGACGATCTCGCGTCCGCCATCGAAGCGGCGCATGCTGGCGCCACGCTGTCTCTCGCACCTGCTTCGTATATTGTATCGACCTTGCGCATTGGAAAAGCCATTACGCTGCAAGGCACATGTGGTACGTTCTGCACCTCGAAAACGTTTGACTAAAGTACCGCGAAGACTCGTCGGTGGTGATCGGTCACATCGTTGTCGAAGGAAACGCCAGCGTCGTTCTCGATGGACTTGTGCTGCAGCCGCCGAAGCGACCGACACCCAAGACCCACACACTCCTCGTGTCTTCTGGCCGCGTCTTGATCGAACGGTGCGTGGTGCAGCGCAGCGCGCCCAACATCGCAGTCGTCTGTGTCGCCAATCGGTCCCACGTGGTCATGAGGCACTCGCGTATCACCGACGGCCTTCAGGCTGGGCTCTACGTGTGCGGTAGTACTCGCAGTCGCAACATTATGTATTCATATACTCCACACAGGCAAAGCCACGGTCGACGTCTTGCACTGCACGGTCGAGCGGTCTGCCGGTTGCGGCGTTGACGTCTCTGGGGGCGCTGCTTGCATACTATCGCACTCGACGGTCGCCAACTGCAAGAAAAGTGGCGTCTTTGTACACGCGTTCGGCACACTCACGATGCGCGACTGCCGCGTGGAGAAGAATTGCATGGCTGGCGTCGAAGGTTCGGACACTGGATTGAGCCATTGACCTATGCTGCGAGTAGTGACCGCCCATGCGTTTGCAACCATCGAGAAATGCACGATTGTGCGCGGACTCAAAGGCGGCATTCTCCTGCACTCGGGCGGCCGCGCGACGATCGACGACAACGTGTTGCACAAGAACGCGATGGCAGGCATCGATGTCCGCGGTGTCGGAAGCACCGCTGTCGTCCGACGCAACCACATCTGCAACGGCCGCGCCAGTGGCATCTACGTCTCGGACCACGCCCACGCGCATGTCGTCGGCAATGAAATCTACGGCCATCGACGTGAAGGTCTCGAGACGACTAGTGACGCGTCGGTCGCTGCAATCGACAATCAATGCGTCGGCAACGGTCGCAACGAGCTCGATACCGTGTAATCGTGAAAAGGGATGTTCCGTTATAGCTAGGGTATTTCATGCCCTAGCCCTGGGAAAGGTTTTGCGTCATGCACCGAGCTGAATGCTATCTGGCAGCTTCCCGCAGATAGTTATCTTAGTAGGAGACAAGGTGAACAATGGTGCTAACGTTGACAAAAGTGGACCCCTGTTGAAATTTTGCCACATTTCTGGTCATCGTCCATCCCCGACGCATTGGCGCATGTCAGATAGTCGATGGTTGTTGCGCCTCGAGTTCCGTCCACATGCTTACACTTGAGAGGGTTTCAACGCATTTGAAAGTGATATATGTAGAGTATTCTTGCGTCTAGTTGCAGTGGGATATGTTACATGAGAGACTGGAGGTATGCGCATGTCGTCGTGGGCTTGAAGAACGAGTAGATGCACGCGCCGTGGTGGTGCATTTGAAACCCGGCGTCGTCCATGAGGCGAAAGAAGACGGCCGAGTCGGCGATGCGCCGCTTCCAGCTCATGAGGAACTCGGTCGTCGCGTCGTCCTCAAAGATCTCGAGCAGCGTCGTCACCAGCGCCGGGTATGCACTAGACCGAAGGCGTCACGACAGCGCGTCAAGATCCACAGACGCACCTGACGTAGAGCAAAATGTCGGACGCAATGACGAATCGAACCGACCCGGGGCTCTTCCAGCCCGTGCCCCACGTGTGTGCGTAGTGTTCGCCGATCACTTGGCCTATGGAAGGAATGGCATCTCGTTTACCAAGTACAAGCGGGTTACCATTGAGCGCCGAGTTGAACTCGATGTTGGCCTCGATCGTGCCGTCGTCGGCCATGTCACTAGAAGACGCAAGCGGATGGCATCAAGCCCTTTGGGAAAGGGCAGCAGTATGATGCAAAACAGCACGAAGCTTTCTGGAACGATACGACCGCCATAGCAAGAGGTGGTACCTCGTCATGACGTCATACAGCCGCGGGTCGGCGCGGAGGTGGATGGCCAGCGCACCTGTGGCAGCACCGAGCTCGAGGATCTTGCCGTCGCTGTACCGCGCTTTGTTGGCGTCGATGAAGCTCGCGAGGTTGAACATGCCGGGCCACACCTTGTTGGCGTTGGCCTCGTGGAACGAGAACTGGCGAATCGCATACGTGTCGGCGCCGATCGCAATGTTCTGCGTCTCGTACTCGTTGACAAACGCCTCGTCCTCCGAGTCGCTGTTGGCGAAGAGCCCGCCGAGCGAGAGCGGCGCGTCGACACGGTCGCACACCATTGAACTGCAAATGGACCCAGTGCTATATTATCCGTACGAATAGGATACCGAGTATCCGGCACTTGTATCCGGCCGTGAAGACCACCCACATTTCTTCAATAATATAATTGCTGCAAAGTTGTACAAAATAGCAGTCATTTTTATAGTAGACAATCAAATGCTTTTTATTCGGATCCGGTTATTCAAAAAGATCGCTCCACCGTTTAAGCACGGGGGTGGTCGTTGTCGATCTCAGGGTCAATGGCTCCAAGCAAGAATTGGGCTGCTCCCATTTTGACTTGGGCGCACAGAACGGTGGGCAACGCGAGACTACTCCTGGGTCTTAACACTCCATGGCGTGAGCGACCGCCTCCATATCCACAAAGACTGTGTTTGGCTTGGCTTCCCGAATTCACACTCTGTGCAGTGTCACCACCGTTCAATGTCTCGAGTGGCTTGATGGTTTTGGCCAGTCGTCCACAAACAGGTGCTGGGAACAAGGTTCAGACCCCTGATTCGAGTTCGAGATGTTCTCGCACACCTGCTATATACCTCGTAGCAATCTGCGTTGCATCAATACAAGCTTGCTTATACCGCCGTTAGCACTAGTCAAACGACGCTTACATTTCCATGTCGTGCGCCATGCTCTCCTCGAGACGCGCGACGAGCTCCGCTTTCAGGCCCTTGAACGAGAGGCCCCGCTTCTTCAGCTCTTCCTTGAGCTCCGTGACCTTCATCGACGCCACCGAGCCGCCAACGGCCTTGGACGGGGCGGGCGACTTCTTGGGCGACGCCACCTTGGGCGGCGATGCGACTTCGCGCTTCGGGGACGCGACGACCTCACGCTTCGGCGACGGCGTCTTCTTGGGCGACGGGGCCGTTTCGTGGGGCGGCGACGCCGGCGGAGGCGACAGCGCTTCCTTCACTTGTTCCTCCAAGCGCTCGACTTCGGCGAGCGAGGTCGCGTTCACGATGGCCGCCTAAGAGACAACGCGTGCATGGGACCGCGTCTCCAATAGACAAAAGATGCAAGCGGCGTACTTGAAGCTCCGTGACGGAGGGGCGCGGCGGCGACGAAGGCATCGGCTCTGACGACGAAGGTGTCGGCTCTGGCGCCGCCTCGCCATCCGCAATCTTCTTGCCGGCGAGCGAATTGAATAGCCGGGCGGCTTCTGTCCGTTCGACAGGCCGGATCTTCTTGAAGTCGAGGACGCGGACCTGCGGAAGCGTATGGATGACGTACTCGCGGTAGTACGACTTGCGCGTGACGGGGTTCCCGATCAACGACAACGTATGTGCTACGTGGTTAAGGAGCCAAAAAGTTGGTGGAACGATGGAAGCGGTCGCAAAGCGTAGAAAGGATATCCAACTTGTCAAAGCAGCGGAGCGCGTCAATGTCTGTGAGGTTGGCGAGGCTGTTGTTGGTCATGAGGAGCACCGAGAGGTTCGGGAGCGCCTCGACCAGGTTTTCCTGGATGCGCGCAATCTTGTTGTTGTGGAAGAGGAGCATGCGCACGCGGCGCAGGCGAGGAAAGTTCTCAAGCTTCTTGATTTCATTGTCCGAGAAGTCGAGGCAGTCGAAGCCGTCCTACGTCGTTCGTGCGTCGCGGCTACCATGTATCCTCGGCGTACCTTGGTCGCACCGAGGCTCTCGATAACAGGGATCTTGTAGCCTAGGCGCGCTGAGGCCTCTGCAGCATGAGGAGGCATGTACCTCGGAGGTCCAGCTCGCGCTCCCGGAGCGGGTTGATGTGGGCGCGGGCGTTTAAGATCACTTCGGCGGTCAAGCGCATCGTCCGTCGTCGTCAAGTCCTTGCGGCCCGTCCAAAATCGCTAACGTTTGGTACACAGTTTTCACCAATCGCAAAATCGCTGGATTGTAGCCAATAAGATCGTATTCCTGATCCGTATTTTAGCCAATCACACACGACGTTGCAGTGGCAGCCACAACGCGAGCTCGAACGCCCAAGATACGTTGACAGACGCTCGGAGCCAACTCCACGTAAGCTTATTTGGCCTAAAGAGCGCCGCTCGGCACAGCAGCACTGTCGCACCTGTGGTGCGTGCGTGTGGATCTACGAGGCTGCAGCGTCCGTCGTTCGTGATTGTTCGCAGTTGGTGGTCTGATGCCATGCAACTTTCAACGCAAACAGTATCATAACACATCGACGCATGCGACGATGCAGCGTCATCCCAGTGGTGTCGTGTCGACTGCGAGTCGACGCGAAAGTTCGAAATGGTATACCGTGCACATGCCAGCGAACTTGCGTAATCGTGCTGTGTCCGTCGTCCCATCCTTGCACCGCTGTCCTCGGGAGCCTCGTTTGAATCGATGTCGCTCCTTGGGGCCCTTGTGCATCTCGTCTCGAATCACTGCGCTAGCAGCAGGAAGCCAGTTGTGTATTTAGTTTATTTGTAGTCCTAGTGTAGTTGGAATAGGGGTAGTGTACATGACAAGTCGTCTTGGAAGATCATGCTTCGTCGCAATGGGCTGTGTAGTTGTCGTTGACGAGGTTGGCTTTGTACTGCTTTGTCGGGTGGGGCGCGACAACGGGGTCGCTCGCGTCCTGCACGGTCGTGGGCGCCACGTTCTCGACCACGGCTTTCCATCGGTGCACGAGTTCGGGGGTGTGCACAAAGCAAAAGACGCCGACGCAAAAGGCCGCGATGATGTGCGCGCAAATCAGGTTGGGGTAGAAGCACACATTGTCGTCCTTGTCGGCTGGGTACGAGAAGGACCAGAAGACGTAGAGAAGGTAGACGGGCAAGAGCGTGCGCGTCACGGCCCACGTCACGTACGTGGCATAGATGGAACGCGTGTGCGAGAGCGAGTCGTGGTGGCCCATGGACTCCATGAAGCCCCGCGCGTTGAGCGGCAGCGTCGCAATCTCGACCAGGAGAAAGAGGAGGAGGCCAAACTGGCACCCCGTGCACGCCGACACAAAGTTGTTGATGATGTACGGCACACTACAGGAATGGACATGAGATATGCCCTTCAGAAATGCAAGCGAGTTGAGCGTACACTGCGACAACGTGGTGGATCACAAACACCGATTGCATTGGCACGGGCCACGCAATGACGACGATCAAATCGAAGAGGAAATACCCGATCGCTAAAGACACAGACGAAACGCGAATGAGGCCCTCGCGTCAAGAAGCTGGTATCGCGTACCAATGGAGAAGACGGTGCAAGCGGGCTGGATCGAACTCATTGGCAAGTAGTCCTTGTCCCAGTGGATGACGCAAATGGCGTAGACGACGCCAGCGACAATGACAATGGCGTGAATCGTCGAGTTGATGCTACTCATATTGTGAGCGACTTCTTTCTACATCGTGAAGCAGCGCACCGCGAGCACCAATCGGCCTTCTCGGCAGGGCTAAAGTCGGGAAACTTGGGGTTGTGCTGGAGGCAGTACTTCCACGAGAAGCGAAACATGCCGGCGAAGAAGACAAAGAAGCCTGCGGCGATGGCCGCGTTGGTGGCCGCGTCGATGGACGTGGCAGCGGCGGTGGACTCGAGGCGCATCTGACAACAACGATCGCAATCTGGAGTCCTGTCCGCACCCGTGCGACTCGGATCGAAAGTGCCACGGCGCTGATAACAGCCCAGCATCAACCAGAAACCGTAACACACACGCGTGAGAAACTAATATTCACGTGGTGTCGCCTACACTTTCTCGCGTGTCCCGTGGGAAATTCGCGATGAAAACTCCTCACTCACGCTCTAGGATACGAATGCAATCGTGAGAGGAGTAAGTCGGGCACAGCTTCAGTACCGGGGTAGGCTAGTGTCCACTAGAGTACATTGGATATATAACACGGACGACGACAGAACGCGGGGAGATGTGCCATGTTCGAATGGCAACTTCAAGATCCGTTATTTGATTATGAAATTGCGAAAAATTAAAAAACTTCTATTCTTGCCACATTCCATGAACCCAAGTCGATTGCCCGATGACAACAAAATAAAATTGAACAATCGAAGAAAGAAGGTGGAGGACCGAGAGCGCAACCCCGTCGATGGCACCAAGTTTATGGCGAGGCTACATGGCGTAGCCTCGTCCATGTCGCAAGCCGCCGAATTCCTAGCTTCTCGCTTGGTACTGCTTCTACCTGAAGTATGACGAGAGGCTCGTAGTTGTGCTGCTGCACCTTCGTATAGACAATAACACACGTGTGTGAAAGTAGTGAAAAATGATTGTGCTAGATTTCGTGCCGGCAGCAAACCGTCATCGCCGAGCTCCTCAATGCGTCAACTTGCGCACAGAAACGTTGAAGGTCAATAATAAAATAGATTTACTCGATTAAATTAATCCACGTCCGTGTCCCATACAGCGTCCTTTTTTGCTGGCCTCATTTCGGATTCTGCCTCGAATTAGGATAGACATCCCAATTTGGACCTGGCGGGAAAAAGGCCCATCATTTGGTGGCAGCAGAAGGTCGACAACGGGAGAGCATGAACGCGGCCCAGCAAGCGAGCTTCAAGGGGACGATTGACCAGTGTGTCGATACGATCTGGAGCGCGTACGACCGCGACGACAGCGGGTACCTCGACAAGATAGAAACGCGCAAGTTCGTCAATACGCTCATCGCCGAGTACGAGAAGGACGGCGACGTCGTGCCGCCCGTCAACTTTGAAGAATGCTTCACCGCCTTCGACGTCGATGGCAACGGCCTTCTGAGCCGGAAGGAAATGCGCATCTTTGTCGAACAGCTCATGGGCTTCTAGGCATTTTATTTGCTCCCATGTAGTATGTCTACTAGTATGATCGACTCGATTGTGCACCGACAGCCTATCCATGGGCGAAGACACACGGCTTCAATACATATCTTCATGTGCCAGCAGTACCGGTAGCCACGGCCAGGCTCGATCGCACCGAGCACGTAGCTTTGAAAACGGTTCATGCGGTACAGGTTGTATGCCGGACGTAGCGAAGACTGGCACCGTGGGCATGGTTGCTAAAGTGCCGGGTAACGATTACTCGCCGCCGCGTGCGCTTGCGGTCAATGTAGTCCTTCTCGAGGCTGGCGAGCGCTCGGGTACCATTATCGCCGAAGCTAATCTACCAGTAGTTGTCCTCGTTGTGTTAACGGACTTGACGGAAGAATGAACGCACTGGATACAGCTCTGGATACTGTGTTCGTCGACGAGAAGTGGCGCTGGATGCTTGCGACCAAGTGCTTTTGACGCGCCCCAAAATGGCGCGCGGCGCGTTCTGCAACACTGTTGGCACTGTCAACGCATATCAGTTTGCAATAAGACTTGAAGAACGCAACTTTATGAACCACCAGTGCTGCAGTGCCCACGGTGCGATTCCACTGCAACATCAAACAACTTGTGCATGCAGAACCATGCTTGCAAGACCAGTAGTGTGTCTCTGTCAACTGCTACGACAGTACGTAAACGTGACGTATACTTTATTACACCACGGTCCTCTCCTACCGGTACAATGCTTGCACTTGACGCAGTGGTCGTCCAGACCGGTGTACGGTTGTGTGTTTCAAGCCACAGGAAACTTGCAGCGTACCCATTGTTATAACATAGCACATGGCTGCGTGAGTGCCCCGTCATGAAACAGCACCGCAGAGGCGCGGCAGCCACATTTCATTGCCCACAATGGAAGCCAACCATGACGCGTGGGAAAGCTTCAAGAAGGAGCGGGCGCAGCGCGTCGCTGGCGCGCTCTCCCTCGTCCTCTACGCGATCGTGGCCCTCGGCGTGCTCTCTCGCCTCGTGCTGCACGTACGCCACGGCAGCGGTCTCCGCCGCGTGACGTTCCACGTGCTCTTGCTGCACGTGATCGTCGGCAACATCCCGTTCAACGTCCAGGCCGTGTTTTACCCTCGCAGCCAGCGCTGGATCGGCGCCTTTGTGGCCGAGCTGCTGGCCGACACGCTGCTCTGCTGTGCACTCGCGATGCTCTCTATTGCCTGGGCTCGCGTCGCCATGGTCGGGCAGTACGCGCACGGCCCCGTGCGCTTCAAGCGCTTCATCATTGGTATCTCCGCTGCCATGGTACTCGCCATGCTCGCGACCGACGGCGCCGTATTCACCTTCTCCGACGACGTCGCTGGTGTGAGCGAGTACAACGACAGCGTTTTGCACATTTTAATTGTCTCGCTCGGCTCGGTTGTCATCCTCTTCACGTCGAGCTTGCTGCTCTTTCAAGCGACGCGCATCTACCGGCGCATGCTCCAGTCGCGAAGCATGCTCAGCGCGACCGCCTTTTCACGGTCCGCGACCAAACTGTTTCTGTCAGTCTGGATCATCATGCTCTGCAATGTGCTTCGCGTTTTCTTCATCGTGTGCGGCGCCTGTGAGTTCCGCTTCGTACGCGAGATGGACGTTGTACCTCACACAGTCTGGGCAAGCCTCGTGCCTGAAGTCTTCCCCGTCATCTGCCTCCTCTACCTGCAACGACGCATGCCGGCCGCCTCGTGCAAGGTGCAGCGCGTCGCCGTTGGCACCGAAGAAGACGCGCTACAGACCGTGACGGCGACAATGGACGCGGCGTGGAACGACCATGCGAGCCCGAGCTGCCACGCGTAGCTGTGCGAATCTACTAGTATGTATCTTTCTTTGTTAACCTTAACTTATTCACGACTTCTATGGTTCGAGTCCGAGCAACTACGTGTGTTCGTGGCACCAAACTGTGCTCCACTGACAGGGCTCACCCAGGGGCTCACCAACAGTGTTTCTAGCTCGGACCATAGGTCACCCCGGTGGCTAATTCAATTGTAACCACTGTCTGCCTAGTCACCGGTACTGTAGTTCAGCTCTGTAGTTGGCACACGGCTCAACAACGTACACACGATGAGAACGGTTCAGGTGAACAAGAGTGGAAGTCTTGTTCGCACCGGTGCTTGTTGCTGGCTAAAGTAAGCCGCTGCAACGTCGTTCGACGCGCCGCGGATGCAAGCATTCGGACACGTCTTCTGACCACCCCGCGTTCGATGTCGATGGCGTGCGCTTGGCACATCGACCGCGCCGACGTCGCTCATCTTCCTACACTATTACCGACGGGGTCGTATGGCGCGACGAACGCTAGAGGCTCCTGCACAGCTGCACATCCCCTTCCATGGTTCTGCCGATACACTGTCCAAGTGCAAACTCAAAAGCAATCTCAAACTGCACTTCTACCAATACAAATCCAAGTCAAAAGTCAAAGTATTCTCAAAATCAACTCAAGGACATACCGTGACAAGCCAACCTCGCGCAACAGAATCGAACGGGCCGACTGGATATCTAGCGCGCGCGGTGGCCATTAACGCTGCCATTTTGAATGTCCTCGACGGGCTCGGTCGCTCCGACGGCGTCGGACAGCGGCCTGACGCCGTCCGAAGTTGTCGGCTACAAGGTCGCGGGTTACATCTCACTCTCGCTGTACGCTGTCGTCACGGTCGGTATCGCCGCGCAGCTCTACATGCACATCACGCACCACAGCGACCTCAAGCGCATCGGTTTCCACCTCCTCCTGCTCTTTGCTGTCGCTGCCGAGACGCCGACGAGCCTCCAATTCATCGTGAACCCCAACAGCACTCAGTGGATTGGTATGTTTCTGTGTGAAGTCTACGCCCAGCTGCTGCAGTGCTTTGCGCTTGCCATGATTGCGCTTGCATGGGCTCGCGCCGCAGCCGCGGGTCACCACGATGGCCCTGTGACGCTGCGCAAGGTCGTTCTCGCGTGCAACGTTGTCATCTTCCTCTGCGTTCTCGGCTCATCCTGCGCGATCGCCACGTACCCCGACACACTCGCAGGCCAAATCGACTTTATGAACAGCCCACTGTACTACGTGCTCGTCGTCTCGGGGTGCGTGACGCTCCTCGGCACCGGCTTCTTCCTCGTGTACCAAGGCTGCTGCATTGCGTCGAGGCTCCTGCGCGCCCGCGCCGTCCTCGGCGAAGACGAAGTCTACCGGTCGCTCTCCAAGCTCCTCGTCTCTCTCTGGACCATCATGCTGTGCATCTGCCTCCGCGTCTTCTTCACGGCGTGCTTGGCGCTCGACGTGGCGTTTATCGAGAACATGGACATCGTGCCCTTCACCGTCTGGTCGACGCTCGTGCCGGACGTCTTCCCGGCGCTCTGCCTCCTCTACCTCCAGCGCAAGACGCCGACCGAGATGACGCACCGCCGAAAACAAGTTCGCGTCGCGTCGCAAGCGCCCACGGAACCGTACATGATGCACACGACCGAAGTTAGCCCCGTGTAGCCGCGCCAATTCAACTTATTTACTAGATACATAGAGTTAAACGATAGAACTTTTCTCACATCGATCCTGAGCCATCTTTGACGGTCAGCTGCCGCAAGCGGCGCGGCTTCCAAACCAGATACGTGTCCATGGTCTTGACAATCTCTCGCGTTCGCACCACGTAGTTGTGCAGTCGCAGCCCTTGGCAGCCCAGCTACCGTTCTTATGTGAGGTGCACACGTGGGAGAAGGCAAGCGTACCTGGTTAAGGCGCACGCCGAGGCTAATGTGCAGCACGGGCTTGCCAAACTTTGGGATATCGCTGGCCATGGTGGCCAGCAGCTTCGAGTCAATGTCCACGGGCACGTCGAGAGCCACCATGTCACAGATGCCCTACCGTTTGAGTCACCCCTGTAGAGTTTGTCGCTACGCGTACCTCGACAGCCATCTCATTAAAGTCGACGGCGCTTGTGAGCGCGCGCGTGATGGGGACGGACGCGACGCCGACGAGCTCGCTCTTCCCGACGAGGTTCCAGTCGTAGACTTCCATGACGAGCCGCGTCTCGATGCTCGTGATCTTGAACTCGAACGGCGCGTTCCAGACAGGGCTGCGCTGTTTCTTCTTGACGACGGTCTTGGCTTTGGAGGGCAAGAGTTTGTCGCCTTGCTTGAGCTTGACCTTGACAAATGCGTCGAGCGCCTTGGTCGAACGGTCCATGATCGGTAGGATGTTGGCGCCAACGACGACGACATATAGCGCGCCTAGCGACTCTGTCTCAAGCCTTGGAAACGCGCGGATCTTGGCTTCAAGCGCGCCGAGCTCTTCGCGAAGCTCCTCGACTTGCTCGCCGTCATTGATGTCGCCGCTCACAATGTACCGGAAGACGCCTACGCACATAGTGTAGATGGGGACTCGTGGCGTTTACGTACCGTTGAGAAAGATGTCCCCTGGCGGTCGCTGAATTTGGTCGACCTTGTCTTTGCTCGTGAGCTGGAAAAGGTACGTTTCTTGGAGATACGCCTGGCGCTTGAGCGTGCTCTTGATCGTGTGGAGCACCTCGCGATCCGAGGCGTCGTGGAGCGAGACGAGCACGGACGCGAGGTAGAGCGCCGTCATGAGCAGCGTCAGCGAGAAGAGTTGATCGAGCCACGCACTGACGGGGATGCTATCAAACGTCGTGTCGGCCTGGGAAGCCAGCATTTGCACGATGACGACGTTGCCCGCGTTGACGACGACGCCGGCGAGCGTGAGCATGCGAAAGTAGATCATCCAGCCTCCAATCGAAGACGCGGGGAGCGGCATCGGACGCTGCATCAAGTAGCACAGCTTGTATGCATCCACGCGTATCTAACCATCGTCACGCTCCACAAGAGAGATGAAACGCCGTACTTGAACGAGAGTGATGACGAGTGCGATGACCGCGGCCTGGGGCGCGAGGGCGCCAAACCACGTGATGTACCCAAACGTGATGGAGATCTGTGCATAGTCAAAGAGCACGCCGTCGTACACGTCGAGGTTCAATTCGTCGCTGAAGCAGCGAGGCCTACAAGACTCTGTTTGGCGGTGGACGCGGTACATGGACGCACCCCATGTCCGCGTCCAGTGGTGTGTAAACGCGCGTCCGGCGGGCGTTGTACGCGTGGCGCATCGCGAGCAGCAGCGGCGTCGCAATCTCGCGCACCGACAGCGCCAAGTTGAAAAAGAGAACACTCAGGAGCAGATGCTCCGTCTCGTCGGCGCACGCCGTCGCGTCCAAGTGGGGCATCGTCGACTGGTTGCAGCCGAATGTGTACGGCTTCAGGTATGTCGAGAAGAGGATCGGGCCAAAGTTGTTGATGGTCTGAAAGATAGCGACTAGAAGCAATTAGGTTGCGTCAGAGGGGAACTATTTCGTACACTTGACGGTCAGAGCGACATGAAAGGCGTGGTGCGTGCGGTGGTTCTCAAACTGGTTGAGACACACGACAATCTACAGCGCGATGCAAGACACGTCATCGTCGCAAGACGCTTCGTACCGGCTGGAACGGCACTTGACTCAAATTGATCAGCAACGCAATGACAATGTTGGAGTAGACCGTAACCGAGTCGTCCGACTCGTAGATCGACTCGTAGTGGGCTTGGAGGGCAAACACGGCGTAGATCGCGAGACCGTTGAGCCCGATTGCGATACAGAGAAGAATTGTCGCCTGGAGTTTGCGCATTGCCTAGTAGCAGCGCAGTCTGTTGTGTCGCGAGCCATCAGGAGGGATGTACTTGCAGCTGCGGCCGAGCGATGAGCTCTGGTGCATTCGTCACGGGGCTGATGCACACGATACCCGTGTACTCGGCGCGTAGGGTGGCGTCAGCCTTGACGTCGTCCATGCCCCAAGCAACGGCGAGCGCCTGCTGTTGGACGGCCCATTTTCGAAGCATGAGGCACGAGTAGAGGCAGTTGACGCTCGCGAGTGCCATGTTGTAGTAGCCCAGCACGGTGTCGGGCAACACGAGCGAGAAGGGCGCGTCGACGATGCTGATGCCAATGAGCACAACGAGCATCTCGGCGTAGAACGATAGAAAGGCGAAGTCTAGTCAAAGTGACAACGCGAGACGACCGAGAAGGTACGTACACAGGGCGAGTTCTTCGCCAAAGTAGTCGCGAATGAGCTCAATCGGCTGGTAGAAGAGGACGCGCCACGAGCGGCAAATACCGTGGCTGTAGAGGTAGGCGTACGCGCTAAGCGCGCCCCATTGCGCACAGAGCTGGTCCAAGGTCACGTCGTCGCTGTGCTCGGTAGATGTATGTGTGTGGAGGCACATATGGTGCGTCAGGAAGCCTTCGTGCCGCAGCATTTCGCAGTTGAACGCCTTGTCGAGCGCCGCCTTGGTCAGGCGCACTTTGTCGACCCACCGGAACGGCAACGTGCCCTCGACGTGGCGGAAGAGGTAGTGCAGCGCGGGGTCGGCCTGGAACGGAAAGTACAAGAGCGCCGTCGACGGAAAGCGCGTTTGGAGACTCGAGTTGGCGATGCGTTTAAGCGCCGAGATGCGCCGAGAGACCATCGCGGGCGACTCGCCGGCGAAGAGCTGCGCCTCGTCCGCAGTCACGTGGCCTTCCAGAAAGAGGCGATGCAGCTCCTTCTCGGCCACGTCGGTCGTGTACTCGGTCGTGTCGTGGCCGTGTTCTAGCCAATACTAGCCCGCAATCGTATGCGCTCGATGAAGTTACATCGAGGCTACCTGGCTGCCAGGATCGATTTCGGGCCAAATGGGAAGGTTGAGCTGCACGTCGCCGGCCATGTGCACCAGTGCGTCCCTCGTCAAGCGCACGAAACAGTAGATGTTCTGGTCGTCGGCCGAGATCTGCGTCGCGAGCGCAACGCCGGGCACAGCTTCGAGCCGCTGGAGCACGATGTTGCGCACGAGCTACGCGTCACGTGATGAAGAGAGAACGACTCGGTCGCCTACTTCTCGAAAAAAGTGCCGCGGAATGCGGTCCGAGGCGGCGGGCGCGAGGCTGCGAAACTTGGCGACCCACGCGTCGCGAAACTCGGAGACCGCGGCGTCCTTATCCGTGTCCGAGCCGCATGTGACGCGCCTAATGACGTCGGTGGCGTCGGCAAACGAGATGCGGTCGGTGGCGCCAGCGTCCAGAGCGTGCGGCGTGTTGGGAAACACGAGCGCGTAATAATACTCGGCCGCGACGACGGCGCCGTGGCTGCCGTACGTCGCCGCCTGACCAATGTCAAGCGCGATGGTGGCCATGGCGGTGGTGAAGCGTCACTGACGCTGATTGGTGCAAACGCGATCTTGGACCAGTCTTCGTTTCTTCTGCGACGAGATAATCAGTTGAGGCTCGCCGACGGTGTCCTCGACCGAGACGACGTTTGCCATCGACGGCGTCATCGCACTGACCGAGAGACGAGGTTATACAAAGACGACGACCTCTATATTGTGTTGTATACATCAAGCGGAAGAGAGTTAAAGCGCGAGCCAGTTGTTGTTGCCGATCGTGAGCGCCATGCTCTTGATGATCACGTCGCGGAGCTCGTCGTAGAGGCGCGGCTGCTCGAGCTTCATGGCCTCGTACGCGTCGCGCGTGAGGCAAAAGACGGTGCAGTCGCTCGACGCGCGCGCCGAGAGGTGGCGGATTTGCTGCACGAAAAAGTCGACTTCGCCAAACATGGCGCCCACGTGCACCTTCTCGAGCAGCGCCAAGGACGCGCTCTCGCCATTGTCGACCGAACCGTCCTTGTTCATAAAGAGATCGACGCTGCCGGCGCCGAGAATGTAAAACGCGCGCGACGGCTCGGAAATCTACAACGCCATGAGTGTTCCTTCTTGCGCGCATCGATCGTACCTGGTAAAAGTAGTGGTCCGACTCGACGAGCTGCTTGGTAAAGTACGGCGCGAGCGGCTCAAACAAGGCAGCGTTGTCGGGGAGACCGACGAACCGGTTGAGCAAGAGCGGGAGCGAGGCGTCGGCGCGGAAGAATGAGTTGGTGCGCGAGGCCAAGATGAGGTGGCTCTCGCAGTACTCGAGCGCTTCGTCGCAGTTGCGGTAGAGCACGGTCTCGTCGACAATGTCGTTGTTGACAAGGAGGCGCGAGACGGACGGGAGTACGTTGGCGTAAATCACGTCAATCTTGTGCGACGTGCAGAGCTCCTGAAGGATCATAAAGCAGCTGCGCGCCGCGGTGGCGTCCATGCCCGTCACGCGCTTGAAGTCGAGGACCAGATACCGCGTCGGGAGGCGGTTCTTGGACTCGGAGGGGGAGAGCGGCGTGCCGTCGAGGTGCTCGAGCGGTCGATTCACGAGCGACCCGTACGGGTTCACGGGCTTGAGGACGCGCACAAACTTCTTGACGTCCTCGACAATGTGCACCGATGTGCCGAAAAAGAGGTACCCGTGCAGCTCGAGCACGACGATCGAGTCGCGCTTGTCGGCGATGACGCTGCGCGCGGCGTAGTTGCGGATCGCAGTCGACGACTTGTACACGCGCTGGACCTGGTTGACCTGCGCGTAGCCGATGAGGAAGTTGACGATGGCAAAGCCGATGCCGATGATCATGCCGAGCTCGAGGTTGACCGCGTTGATGGCAAAGAACGAGAGCCAGAGCACGAGGTACTCTTGGAAGAGCACCTTGTGGTAGACGTGCACGAGCCACTCGAGGAGGAGGTCGATCGCGATAAAGATGAGCGTTGCCGCAAAGAAGAAGCGAGGCACGTAGCTCATGATCGAGATTGGGAGCACGACGAGCGCAAACTCCGAGATGATGACGCAGATGCCGACGACGCGCGAGTTGGTCTTGGAGCGGTACGTAAAGATCGTCTGCGAAAAGATGTACGAGCCCGTGTAGCCGCCGAGGATGCCCGAGAGAAAGTTGCTCCACCCGACGCACGCGAGCTCGTGGTCAATGTCGAGCTGCGCGCCCATGTCCATCTCGATGGCGGCGACATCGAGGCACGACGAGAAGGCGACGACAAAGGTCATGCCGACCCACGTCGTGATCTGCGACGGCAATACATACCAGTGAACGTGCTCGAACGAGAAGAGCGAGAGCATCTCGGAAAAGCCGGCTGCGGGCGCGAGCGGCGCGACCCAGCCAAACGACCGCGCGTCCTCGAGGTTGTACCCAAAGCCGTAGAGCACAAAGTAAAAGAGGATCGGGACGCCAACAATGACGCTCGGGAGCGCAAACGAGTTGTCGTAGCGCTGGCTCACGTGGAGGAAGAGGTACCCGCCGGCGACGCCGGGCGCGCACAAGAGCAGGTAATGCCACGACGCGAGCTGCGCCATCGAGCTAAAGTCGTTGATGACGAGGCCCGTGCAGAGCGAGAGGCCGGCAAAGAGACAAAAGAGACCAATGAACGCGAGGTACCCGCCGACGACCGGCATCGGAAGGTACGAGACGAGGCCCGCGAGCTTGAACTTGCCAATGGCCACGAGCGTCATACCGAGCGCGGCCGTCGAGAGACCGATCGTGACAAGGACGGTCGTGACCTTGGCTTCGAGTGGCACGTCTTCGCCGAGTGTGTTGCAGATGGACGTGGCCATGGCGCTGAGGAAGATGAGGCCGGCATCCTAGGTAGAAACATCGATCAACATGTTCATGGTTGTCGGCAATAGTACCTGGACTTGGCCAATTGCAAAGGGTAGCGAGCTCAGCGTCGTAAACATGATTTGGTGCACGACGCTCGAGAGGAGCACGAGCTTGGCGAGGGCGGGCATGAAGGTGGTAAAGTCCGAGTGGCTGAAAATGATGGCGGCGTAGCCGTACATGCATGGGATCGTCAGGATCGAATTGATGACGCCGTAAATGAGGCTCTGCACAAGCGACTCCCAGGCCGACGCCTTGGGCTTCTTGGCCGTTGCACCGGGCAAGCCGAGGCACGAGTCGGTGAGCGAGGGCTGGGACTTTTGCCACGGATGCTCGTCGTCTCGCCGGAGCGAGAGCCGCGTGACGTGGCCGCGCGGGGTCACACCTACGACGCTATGAGCCTGGACACAGGTCGCAAGTCGAACCAGAGAGCGCCGGAGACTTCATCGCCTGCTGCTGCTTGGACGCCAATCGGCAAATGTGCAATCTCCCACATTGCCCTATCTGACCCACTCTGGAATAAAAATACGCGGCTTTCCGACAATGCCACATAGAAAACGTAAGCTATTTAATGCTTCAATCCATTCTATTGCGATACAAGGTGAGACGCTTTATTTAAAGTAGCCGTGCAAGTACTGTGGCGGGAGACAGGACGTCGCCCAACTTCAAGGCGCCCAGCTGCTCCGTGCCAGGCTCGCAGGAGCAGTGAGACGCAAAAGAACAAGGGCAGCCTCAACGACAGCGTTGTCGCCGTCACCGGGCGCTGCCCGTCCCAGTTACCAACACAGTAGACAGGAAGCCGCCGTGCCTGCGACATGCGACCGTCGTTGGCATCCACGTCCCGCGTCCACCCGGATAGCACCCAAGGAGGAAAACCCACTTGAGGACAAGGCAGCGGCGTGGGTGGCGGCGCTTTGTGGCCGCTCGTTCCCGCAGAGATATCATCGGTCGTCGTCACGAAGCCGTTGGAGCTAGCAGTTGGAGACGCGCTGCCAACAACATCAGAATATCAGATCTCTGCGCAGGAATAACGGCACGAGCAGTTATAAAACCTGTTTCGAGCCCTTGCTTTGGTGTCGGTGACATTGACAGAGCATGATATACCCAGCTCCAGTGCAACGCGCCAAGGTGCCTCCATTCCGGACGGTCCGTCTCGAGGCGATCGTGGGCTGCGTCTACGTCCTCTTTTCGCTGAGCTGCGGACTTTGGTTTCTCGTCTACTTGACGCCATGCTTTCGCAACGATCTGTGGTGGCCCGACTACAACTTGAGCGGTCACCAGGCGTTCCTTATCGACGTGCTAAACCGAGTCCTAGCGACGACGCCCGAAGCCACATTTCCCATCACAAACTGTTTGTCTGGTGTGCAAAAGAGCTACAACGGGTCTTCGTCCGTCACGAATGTCTACCCGACGTACCCCCGCCAGCTTGCTTTGCACGACCTCTCGTCCATCGAGTACGCCGTGGCGAACCTTCGGCTCCTGAGCGCAAGCTGGTCCATGCGCATGAACACGCAGCACTGCTACGTCGACTTCAACCGAGCCTTCACCGTGGCCCACACAACAGAGCGAGCCGCGCGCTGCGACGCCAAGTACCGAACGAATGGCGCCGTGTTCATGGAGGCCACGCTGCGCAACATCGACTGGAATGACTTTGTGACGATCTGGGCCGGGCCCAACATGCCGTTCACCGTTGCGGTTCAGCTCGGCTTGGAAGAGACCGAAGCCGGTCGCCGTTGGCTCACGACCACCGCGTCTGCTCGAGCAAACACGAGTGTCGACGCCGAAATCGCGTACTGGCGGTCATTCAACATTTCAAGGTTTGTGCTGCAGTGGCAGAACCGGTGGCAGACCGGCGTCACCGAGACGGTCGCACTTGAGAATTCGCTCGGGATGCAGCTGAGCACAACAATCAAGAGTCTTTCACGCGTGACGGGCCCATGGACGTCGCAAAATCTCTTCTTCATCCCGCTCAACGACCTCTGGGTCATGCAGGGCCTCAACCGGAGCTTGGTCTGGGGCACGTCCAACTACGTAGGCGCCAACGTAAGTGCGTCCTTGCCAGCCATCCCTGTCGAAGTATGGAGTACCAACTATGTCACTGGCGTCTTTGCAGCCCAAGCCGCGCTCTTCCAGTACGAGCTCGGACCGTTCCTGTCGGTGGATGCGTTTTTCAGAGTACCGCCAGCGTCGCGAATTGCCGCTTTTGATGCGTTCCAGGCAGCCCTCGTTCCCCGCCTCGGCGTCGACCGGGCCCTAAGCGCCGCCTACCGCACAATCCCGGCGGGCGCCTTGACGACGCCAACACCGCTTGCGTGGCGCAACTATACGTTTTACGGCGGCAACCCCATGTGCGTCTCGAGCCTGCCGACATCGTTCGTGCAGCAGTCGTTCGACTTCTTCGATGGGTGCACGCAAGAGACGCCCTTTTGGCTCTCACCGAGCCCCGCCGCAGTCGTGTTCGGCGTCGTTGCGACCGACGCGAGTAGCGCGGCGTGTGCTGCTGCTGGTGTGAACTGCTCTGCAGCCTCGCGGGCTCGCCAGCGCCTCGACTTGGCGCGATCCGTCTTTGCAGCCGCCGCAAACGACGTGGTCGCCATGGGTCTCGAGCACATGCAGTACGCACGCTCGCCCAATGGCACATGGACCATGCTGCACCAGCCGCTTCTGGACGCAGGGGACTTGGCGTGGACACTCGCGAGCTGGGTGCTGCTCCGCGAGTGGGTTCTCGGCATCCGGGAGGTCGTCTCGTTCGAAGGCGACGTGCGCTCGCTCGTGTTGATGTCGAACGCGTACGCGCCGACCGAGTACTCGACGAGTGGTCTTGGCCAAGTGTTGCAAAGCGCGACGCAGGTCGGCTGGTACCTCGTGCTCATTGTTTCGTTGGCGCTCTGCGGCGTGGGTGCATGGACTCTCTACTTGGCGTTCCAACGTGATTTTCACATTGTGGGACGCAACCTTGTCTGCTTCAACCGAACGGTTGGCGCGACGTGGGTTGGTCGGCCTCTTTGTCTCTTTCGCGGTCTTGCTGCCATTTTGCTATTAAGCACGTCGTCAGTCGCGCTTGACGCGTCGTTCGTCGTGCAGCTCCAGCCCTCGCCCCGGCCTTGGTACATCGTCATGCTCCTCGCGGGTGAAGCGTGCTGGGTCACCTACGTCCTCAACGAACTTGTCCTTGTGTTTGCTCGGGGACTTTCGGCCGTGCATTGCCACGTCTCGAGCCTTCTCGTGTGGCTTATTGTCGTCGCCATCGAAGTGCTATCGCCCGTAGCAGCGACCGCGACGCTGAACCGGCAGTGCACTAGCCAGAACATGGATTATGTAGTCCACTGCGACTCGGGGATCGTTCACATTGGGCGCTTTCGACGCGTGCTGGACCTCGTGAGCATTCAGCTCGTCGTCGTTTTCGGCGTTACCGTGGCCGCCATGTGCTTCCAGAAACGTGTCGTATATCCTGTATTGCCGCTGGCCGAGCCCAGTTTGCGCTTGTCCGGGGTCGCTCATATGTTTCTTCAACCCTTGCCAACGGCTGCGGCAGCGCAGACGTTCGACGCTGTCGGAAGCGCGCTCGCCTGTGTCATCTTTTGCTCCTGCGGATCGATGCGGTGCTTCTTTGACATCAAGCTTTGGAGGCTCCTCGTACCTGAATGCTCTTCGTCGCCGACGGGGGTGCACCTGCTGAGCGCGCAGTTGCAGCGCGTGGATGTCGACGTCGTTGCGCCAACAACGCGGTCGCGGCGTTGGCGCCGGTTGATGGCTGTGCTTGGGCTTTTACACATGCTCATATCCCTCGGCGGCAGTGTCTTGTACCTGGACGTGGCGACAACAGACTTGTCCAACAACTTTTATTGGAGCGGGTTCAACGTCACGGGCGGTCACGCCTTTGTCGCGTCGTGGCTCACGGAGCAACTCGTGTTTGGACTTTCACTGCCACTGTCCTGTCGACTGGACGACAAGCACATCAATTTGATCGGGGCGTTTGACGCCGATGTTGCATTCGTGGCGTCGCCGGCTAACTATGGCGCTCGCCTGCAGCACTCGGTCTTGACCTCGATCCAAGTGGCCATCGAAGCCCTTCGCTCGATCGATGGCTGTGACGCGCCGTGGCTCTTTACCCCGTACTGCTACGTCGATTGGAATCAAACGTGGGAGATGGCCGCAACCAGCACCCGCCAAGCACGCTGTCGAGCCATGACGAGCAACGGCGCCGTCTACTTGGCATCGCTGGTGCACAATGTGGACAGAGCCAGATTTACAGCATGCTGGGGCAAAGCTTTTGACGTCGGTATCGCGTCCGAGCTTCGGCGGTCGATTGCCGGAGCCCATTGGCTCTCGACGCCGCGCCGAAGTTTGATCGACGAAGCAGACGTCTGGCGTCGCGCCAACGTCACGTACTACGACACACAGTGGCAAAACTTCAAGCACATCGGCGTCTCCAGCATGTACTCGATTGTGAACGCCTATGGTCTCGTGTATCCCCTTACCCTTCAGCGCCAGAATGGGTCCTACCGCTTCTCGAGCCAATCCAGTTTCAAAATGTACTGGGGCCTCGCCAACGACTTGATGGCGGTAGTCGACAACTCGAGCACGATCAACGGTTGCAGTCTGCTTCGATTGAGTTCTGTCTTTGCGTATGGCAACAACACGATTGCAAGCGTTCTCGCCCATAGCGCTGTGCTCTCGCTGCCGCTTTCGCAAGGTTTCAGCTTGCTCACAAACGTCCTCGGCCCCTTTGGATCCGTCGATATGCTCTACATCAGCGTCCCGAAGAGGGTGCTTGGCGCAGTTCGAAACCTCGTGGACCTTGTTCGCTTGAGTTTGACGCTGTCGACGCCAGCCCAGATCGCGTATGCCAATATTATCCCACTGGACTCGTCGTATCCCGTACCGCCACCGTGGCTCGGACGCGGAGGCGTCACGTTCGGCGCCTCGCCGCTGTGCCCAGACGTCGCGTACCCCTCATCGGTCGACATTGGACTCAACAATCTGTTTTCGTTCGCCGAGCCATGCGTACCGACAACAGGAGTCCTCGCCAGGATAGAACCGTCACGACAACACTACGTGGTCGCAGCGGCGATGGCGACTCCGATGAACATATCGGCTTCGTGTGCGTTCGACCCAACTAACTATGAGGCGTGTCGAGCGTACCTCGGTCAAACGCAGGCCTTTCTGACGACGTACGTGCCGTCTGCAGCGCCGGACGTGGATGTGACCCACGCTCTTCAAAGTTTGGAGATTGGATTTATCAACTATGGATACCTCGACGGCGCGCCGCCGCTGCAGCTTTTGCACGCAAAGCTACTGGACGAGCCAGCGTTTGGCTTTTTCGCGTGGCTCTTTCTCTACGAATGGGTTGCTGGGGCGCGGGAAGTTGTAGCGTTTCAAGGCGACGCAGGCAACAATCTAACGCTCCTCACGAACCTCCAAGACCCCCGCCGGGAGTCCGTTCAGGCTCACGACGTGCCCGTCAATTTGGCGCAGTACGCTCGTGGCTGTCTTATCTACGTGACGTTCACAATGATCACGATCGCAGCATTCGTGGTTTTCTACGCCTTGCGGAGCTGTGGCCACGTCGAAGGCACCAACATGTTCAAATTCGGACACGTCGGGGCGTCGCGTGGGTCGGCCGCCCGCTCCTGTGTCTCCGCAGCCTCACCGCCAGTGCATGCTTTCTACGGCGTCGCCAACCTTGCATTTTACCGGCGTCATCAGCGTCTTTTACGACGACCGCCCGTGGTACAAGCTTGTGCTCGCAGCCAACGAGGTCACGTGGCTTGCGTCCATCATCAGCGATCTCTTGCTCGTTCTCACGCGCGAGTACACGTCGTACTACCTCTCGGTGCATAATGCGGTCGTGTGGGCCATCGCCGCGCTCCTGACAACGACGGCGCCCGTTGAGCACCGAGTGGCGATTGACCTGCGCTGTTCTGCGACGGCTCTGGACTTTGACGTCGCGTGCGATGCAGGCGTCATCTACATTGGCCAAGCCACTCGCCTCTTGACGCTCGTTGGTCTCGTGCTCGTGTCCAAAGTGCTACTCTCGGCCGCAGCCAAGTGGCGCGTCGGTGTGTCCCCAGCGCCCGTGGCTCACAGCCTCTTTCTCTCGGCGGGCGCGACGTACCTCTTCAAGCACGACCACCGCACGCACAATGGCGTCTACTACCTCGACCGAGCTTCCGCGGTCATGGACGGACTGCTCACGCTGCGTGGCGCACACGGTGTCGTGTACGTTTTGGACTGCAAGTCGTGGCGCGTTCACGTGTTGAAGGCAGCCAAGACCATTCCAGGGTTAAGCCAGGCACCCCAATGGCACCGATCGCTACAGCATGCTTGCCCCCTCACAGATTGATTATGTCGCCTCGACCAATACACTAGTATCGGTGCATGGCTTGATCGAAAGGTCGTGAACGTGCGCATGGCACGGAGTGACAAGTCATGCTCGCAAGGACACCCATGGCTCATTTTTCAAATATGCATATTTACGCCGCCATCCAGGATACACGCTATCGCAGGCATAGTGTTTCATAAAGTTTGGTTAATTCAACACAAGCTGGCGTTATTGCTAAAACGGCTAGATTGACCGAGCTGTACCTGGCGCTGCATGCCTGTCCTCTTGGCTCAAGACCAACGCGTCATTACAGCATGAGTGAGCCGTCTCTCTTGACCACGGGGGCAGACAACCCTTCGAGGGACCGCTCGAATCGAATGGCTGGTCCGCCTCCGACGCCCCCGCCAGTGGCTTCCAATGGATCCCGCCGCCCATCTATCGACACTCCACCTATAGTTGCAGAGGGCAGTCGAAGCAACTCGGTCGCCGAGATATCCCCTCCTCTTGTCGGACGCCGAAACTCGGAAATTCAGCTTCCGTCCAAACTCGAAGCCTTGCCCCGGTGCACGTCCATCGCGCCGCCGGTGCTCGACTTGTCCAGCGCCGACACGGCGGTGTTTCGTCCCGAGTTTTGCACGACGCCGCAGGATATCAAAGCCACAACGCGGTATAGTCGCTGCAACCAACAGTGGCATTGACGAATGTGGCTAGACCGTTTAGTGCATCGGCGACAACCGACAACGTCTTTGCTGTTGTACACTACGGGCGTGGATTCGAGCACCTCGGACACCCTACCCCGACGACATTTGTCGTGCTGCGACCGACTCGGCGGCTGGACGTAGCGACGGCCTGTGAGTTTTGGACCTGCCCCGCGGGCGAGCGTCGGGTCTACGATGGGCTCTACACCCCGTTCGGCGCAACACGCGTTGTCGAGCAGGTAGCGCAGCGAGGAGCAACAAGGCGTTCATGCTACGTTCTTAGAGCGCATCGCCCATCTACAACGAGATGATTGCCGCCAACGTCCCGTCCAGTGTGCGCACCCGCGGTGTGTGGGGTGTCGTGCTCGAGATCATCGCCAAGAGTCTTGATGGCCAAGATATGCTTCTCGCGGCAGTAGCCATGCCCGTCGAGTATCTTCCGTTGGACTCGGAGGCGTCGATGGAGCTGCAACTGCCGCCAGCATCGAGCGCGTTCGCCGCGTCGGCGAGCCTCCTGGTGACGTTTTTTCGAACCCACTTGCTGTGCGTCGTCTTGATCTTCCGATATGAGCTTCCAAACAATCGGTTGCTAGGAGGCCTCCTCTGCACCGGGCCGAACTAACGTTGGAGAGCATTGGGTCAAATGCAATGCACCCAAGCCTCGTTGACGACAAGACGAGGCTCCGACTCGAGATTTTGGACGCTGGTGCCGCGGGAACGGCAAGGACCGTCGATGCGCCGCTCGTACGTGCGTCAATATCCCGACTCGAGCTCACGTGCCAGTAGCCAGCGCCCGTCGTTGATTCCGCCGATGCCCTACGAAGTTGGCAGCCTATTTCATGGCGCCTCACCCCCGGAGGTCGCTGGGACGCCAGTGCGTACCACTGGCAGTACCCAATAACGTTTGATTGTGCGACGCTGGCACTCCGGATCCAGTGCTCGGTGTACGCACCAAATCTTAAGGGCGAGGTACGTCATCAATACTTGTTTTGACACTGCAAGCTTGGATAGATGGTATGTGTCGGAGGCAGTCTTCCGGTCACTGTGTCGCCTCCGCGAGCAACCTCGTCCGAGGCGAAAACCACAGTGGGCATTCCGCTTCAAATGCACTCGGCGCCCTACTCGCTCGTCCTGCGCGGTACTGCAGCTGCTTCTAGCACGCATGCCAACACTCCGTGGCTAGCATCGCTCCGTATTTGGACCAGTGACGACTCCTTTCGAAGCGAGCGCGTCATGTGCACAAATCGAACGATCCTCAAGACACACGCGTGGATGGGCGCGATCGCAAGAGGCCTCAACCGCCACCCGATTTCGTCAGTTGTTGACACCGGAGGCATCTCTGGCGTCGTGGCGTCGCTCTTCCGAGACGGCGCTATCGAGACCAGGATACCAGAGCCTCGCATCTTGGAGCTCGCTCCCCTCGACCACTTGTCAGAGAAAGTTCCACTGAGCGATAGTGGGCCGCCGCCGCTGGTCGCAACACCGCGTGACGACATGCGAGATCAACTGCAAACGCTATCGACGGAGCTACGGTCCAAGCAGGCCACCATCGAGAAGGTTTTATTGTTGCATCGTATCGTCGAGAACGAAAGTATGTAGTTGCACGTGGAGATGGACAAGCGGACGCAAGCACTTCGAACCTGCGGCACGGAAATCGTAGATCTTCGAGTCTCTGGAAACGTGGCACTTCATGTCAGCTCACGATGACTCGTAGAAAACGCTGCAAAGGAAGGACCAGCTACTGCAGACGCTTCAGGTCAAAATCAACAATTACGAAGCCCTCGAGCAGCGCCAACAAGAGGTGGACAAAGAGTCGTATCAGAAGGTGGGGTCGCATTCATGGCTTTTCGTTCGTAGGAGCTGCAGCTATGCTTGGAAGGCAACCGCCTCACGACCAGCAACATGCCGTTGCTAGCGCAGCACTACCGGAAGCTCCAAACCAAGTACAACGACCTCGACCAAAGCCATCGCGACCTCACGCAGAAGCTTCTCGCTTGCCGCAATTTTGAAGCCGAGCTCTTGGCCGTCCAGGTCCTCGCTACCTCACACAGTCGGCTTTACGCTGCGATAGACCAAGCACCGCGAAATGGAAGCTGCCCACGTCGCACAAGCAGCCTACGTTCAGAAATCCCAGCGCGAAATGCAAAAAATTAGCGTGTACAAGGTAAGGTGACTTGATGACGAAAGTCGCAGGGCTCATAGCTCGCTAGCAAACCATTAGTACGCAAGAGAGCGTCATCGCCAAGCTCGAGAAGCTCGTCGACACCAAGCTTGCCGAAGCCAAGGCCAACTCAATTGGCCCGAATGTTCATGTGCGCGGCCTTGAGCGCCGATGAGAAATGACGCGTCGTGTAGGCCGAGATTTTTCGCCTGCGTCTCGAAAACGCCTTTTTGAAGGAGCAAGCCACGTACTACAACATTGTCTTGTTCACGTCCGATAACAGTATGAGGTTCTAGATACCATATCGCATCCGCCCGTGCCCATCAACCAGGACTAGACTCGGCGCGGACGATGGCGACCAAACCGATGGTTCCACCATTACGACCACCTCGACAGGCCAACGGCGAGGCCTCCAGCGACAGCATTCGGGATCAACCCCCACCGCCAAAGCCGTTTTTGCCAGCCATCGTGGCACGCGCAGACAAAGCCGTCAACACGGAGACCCCAGCGACACTGTCAAGCCCACCTTCGACTGACGACAATAACGTGCTCGGGGTGCGGGTGCGAGTGTTAGAGGACCAACTGCGCGTGATTGCGACCAACGCCGCCCAAGAGATTGCACAGCTCAAGGCAGCACTCTTTGAACACGAAATGGGCGCGGTTTGGTAGCCCCAAGTACAATCGAAGGCTTGTTTTTGAGAAGTAGAGTTGCTCGTTTGATATCCATTATCCGGATATGAGTGTCATCCGGATAAGTGTTCGACACCGAGCGTCTTTTCGGTTCGTGGTCAAGATCGGTGGCATGTGGCGCAGCGTCCATCGCCTCCCTGGCCGCGCCTTGACGTCCGCGCGCTCGCTCTCGACAGCGCCAGCACTTGCTCTCCGCAGTGCCACGTTCATTCCGACGACGAAGGAGATTCCGGCCGACGCAGCCATCCCCAGCCATCAGCTGCTGGTCCGCGCCGGCTTCATCCGCAAAACATCGAACGGCATCTACATGATGCTGCCGCTTGCAGGCCGGTCGCTCGCGAAGCTTGAAGCCATCATCGACACGCACATGCATGCGATCAAGTGCTCGAAGCTGAGTATGCCCTGCCTCCTCACGGCCGATCTGTGGCAGGAAACCGGTCGGTGGGAATCGAGCGGTCCAGAGCTCTTCCGCGTGACGGACCGTCGCGACGTCGCCCACTGCCTTGGCCCGACGCACGAAGAGGTGTTCACATCGCTCGTTGCCTCGACCGTCTCGTCGCCCAAGCTTCTGCCGTTGCGCCTGTACCAGATCGGGCGCAAGTACCGTGACGAGATCCGGCCGCGATTTGGCCTCCTTCGCGCCAAGGAGTTTGTGATGAAGGACGCCTACACATTTGACGTTGACCGCGCCGGCGCCGAGACGACGTACCACCTCATGGTGGACGCTTACCACAAGATCCTGGCAAAGCTTCAGCTGCCGATTGCGCAGGTCGAAGCCGACACGGGCAACATTGGTGGCAGCCTCTCGCACGAGTTCCACGTGCTCTCGGGCTTTGGCGAGGACGCGCTCCTGTCGTGCTCGTCGTGCACGTACGCGGCCAACGTCGAGAAGGCGCGCGGTGTGCTGCCAGCGTCGAGCATTTCGGCGCCGATCGCGTCGCTAGGTGACCTCGTGGCGTCGGCACATGGCTACACTCCGACGCTCTTCCTGGCCGAGAACAAGACACAGCTCGTTGTCATCTTGACGCCGGAAGGTCGCGAGGTGAACCCGCTCTCGCTCAAGGACCATATTGACGACGTCGATGGTCTTGTCGAAGTCAAGCCGGGTCATGTCGAGTGCGCGCTGGCGCTGCCGTCCCCTTCCATCTTTGTCGACGCCGGCGTTGCGCCGTCGGGCGGTCTCGCCGACTTCCTCGCGGCCCAGAACGCCATCTCGGGTCACTTTCGATTGGCCAAAGAGCACGATGGGTGCCCGTGTTGCGAGCACGGCAAGCTCGTCGAGAAACGGGGCATCGAAGTCGGGTACGAACGCCGGTTGATGTCATTCATGACGCTTGTCTGGTAGACATGTGTTTTACCTTGGGGACAAGTACTCCAAGGCGCTCGGTGCGACGTACCTCGACGCGCACGGAAAGGCGCAGAACATGGACATGGGCTGCTACGGCATGGGCGTCACGCGCCTCATGGCCGCATCCGTCGAGAGCCTTCATGACAAGCACGGCATCGTGTGGCCGGACGCCATCGCGCCGTACAAGGCCGTCGTCATCGGTGTCGGCAAGGACACCGAGTCGGCGGCAACGGCGGTCGCCACGGACCTCGCGGCTGCGTTGCCGGACGACGTGATGCTTGATGACCGTTGGACCGAGCGCCCGGGCGTCAAGCTCACGGAGGCCGAGCTCATTGGGTACACGTGGCGCATCGTAGTCGGAAAGCGGTTCGCGACCGAGGGGCTCCTGGAAGTGCTGCACCGTCCCAGCATGAATGTGTCCTACGTGGCGCCGTCGGAGTTGCGGGCGCACGTCGGTGCCTGATGATGCAGTCGTTGCTCACGCTGGGCCCTGGACCAATATGCAACCGCGTTGGCATCGACGCGACGGAGCACCGTGATCACGAAGCACCCACGTGTGTAGTAGCAATAATCAAGAACGTCGTTTCTGCACAGCTTCGTCTGCGGGTCGAACTGCGCAAACGGGTGTCTGTCACGCGCACGATGTTGTGTGATCACACCGGCGGACGACCCAGCTGGGGCGCTGGATAGGATGATGGTACGCTGGATCGTTGGAGGGTAGGTGTACGGTCACAGCGACCCATGGCTTCTGAACTTCCGACGCAACTGCCCTGAACCATGTAGGCAGGTAGTAGGAATCATCTTGGACACTACAAGTCTGGAATCATCGGCTATACGATTGTGGCCCGACGAACGGCTTCTTAAATAATCGAGCTACCATAGGAAAGCCTATAGAACTAGTGGTAATGTACAGTGCGCGCCAAGTCTTCTACGGCGTGTTCACGAGGCGAAAATGCTGCGTGCACATGCCTTGGCGCCGCGCCTTCTTGCCGCAGTGGGCCACGTCACAAGGGCGGCCGCCGCCATGTTTGATGCAGTAGCCGTTCCCACGGTCCTTGGCATTGCACGACGGGTCCTTGCACGATCGCTTCCCGCCGTGACGGTGGCAGAGGCCGTTGCGCTGCGAAACGCGCTCGCAGCCCTCGACCGTGCAGTACTTGGACGGACGCCAGCGCGGCTTGGTCGGCACCACCGGCGTTGCCTCGACAGGGGCAATGCTGGGCTCGGACAGAAGGCTCTTGATCGACGGAAGTGCAAACGTCGTTGGCGCACGACGTGACTGTTCAAAGGGCGGGGATGACACGAGATGGTCGCGGAAGAGCATCGACGGCAGGAGCACCATGTCTCGCGGGTGCGCGGGCAGCGGTGCGGTGGCATAGTAGGGCGCCTCCGAGTAGTGGTGGTACATCATCGTGCTTGTGTTGGTCGTTTGGGCGCCAATCTCGAAATGCAGACTCGTCTTGGAAAGAAGATCGAAGCGAATATTACCTGCGCATCATCCTACTCTCACGGCGAAAGCAGCTGTTCAGGTTATCATGAGCGCGCCGTACCGCATCCATACTAGCTTTGTATGAAGTAGATCCGGGATGTAAACCAGATGGCTGGGGGTTTATTCCATGGCCATTGTTTACGTTGCAGAGTAGGCCCTTCCCCACGTCATCCTGGATGAGATGATCCACGCCGTGGTACGGCGCTGCGGTAAGCCGCTGTCGGCAGATCACACTCTGCTGGACGACGAGCAGGATTGCTCATCGCGAAGAGGAGAGGCGGTCGTTCTGCAGCGAGTTCGTCGTGAATGCTGGCGAATGTCGAGACGACTCGAGAAACGTGGTCGCAGCTGCAGGCCTATTCTGTAGCGGTCACTGGGACACCGGCTGCCGAACGCCGCGTCGTCGTTTAGTACACCAGAAAAAAAGATCGTTTTTTTCTCTGCGACACGTGGTGGGGACCCGGAATTTGATTCCTCCAGGACCTGCGCGGTACTGTAAACTAAACGATGCGACGTCATTACGCGCTGCCAAGCCGCCGCCGTGTTGAGAGGACAAGTTCTGGCTACGGCTGTATGTACCTCGATAACTGAGATGGACGGAAGCCTTGCTTGGCCAAACAAAAGATGAGCTCCATGCCACCTGTGCACCACTGCCTGCTAAAATTTGGTGACAAAGTCTCCTCGCAGCGCTAAATAATGCCGACGTGGTACGGCCGCTTCAAGAATCCGATGCATCATCAGTTGCGATTAGTGCATCAGGTGCATTCTTGGGTGCAGCGTCGCCCTACGTCGCAAAAGGGAGCAATCCAAGTTGCGAAACGAGAAAAGCAACGAATTTTGATGCTTCACTCGCTCCTAGTGGACAAGACGCGGTGACATTGGGGCTCCCAATGACAATAAAAATGGCTCTCCGTGTCTAGGAGCGATGCAACACCGACCACAAATACTTCGTAGCAGATACTGCACGTCGTATTTGCAAGAACAATGGTTGAGGTTCGTGTTGGGCGCTTCGACGACGCGGAGCTCCATGTGATTGGGAGAAGCCATCGACGACAACGACGACGACGTACGCGTATACGTAGTCAATACGACGAGCTAGTCACGTACTAGGTGGAGAGTGCATGCACTCATTTTAAGAGATGGGGCTGGGCCAACGACAACGACTCGGGGCGCCGAGCCCTGCAGCTCGGACCACGAAGCGACTGGGCTTTTGATTGCTTGACGTACGTTCGCACGTCGCAGCAGCACCGCGAACGAAGCCGAAAGTACCTTTGCGACGATGTTGGGTATGCAGTGGTTTCGTTGTCTTTTTGCTGTGAGTGCTGGCACGAGCGATTGATAATGCGCGTCCTGTCCCCTGGTGCTGGACATAACTTGCCTCTGCACCATAAAGTCGGGTGGACCCACGCAGTGCCAAGTTCGGGCAGCTAAATGGGCCCTCTGTGTGATGATTGCGGACGGCCAGGACATTTTGCCGACGAGAATTCTCTGGCTTTCTCTAGTATACGAGCTCAGTGGTTGAACGTACGACGAGGCGTAGCATCATACAACGCTCGACAAACCGGGATGGTAACGACATGGGTTTCTTCTTGTTTTAAATAAGCTCTTGCATTCTCAGGACCTAGCACGCGTCCTTGACCAGCACCATGCGGTGGTGCTGTGTGCACAAGCCTTGACGGCGAGCCTTCTTTGTGCACTGAGCGACATCACAGGGCCGACCACCGCCGTGCTTGATGCAGTAGCCGTTCCCGCGGTCCTTTGCGTTGCACGACACATCCTTGCACGTGCGCTTCCCGCCGTGACGGTGGCAGAGACCGTTGCGCTGCGAGACGCGTTCGCAACCCTCGACCGTGCAGTATTTGGAGTGGCGCCAGCGCGGTGATCGTGTTGACGTTGGGCTCGTCGTCGTTGGGCTCGGCGTCGTCGGGTGCAAGAGCGCTTCGATACCGGGAAGGCGCGTCGGCGCTGGTGCGCAGAGCATGGAGGGTAGAAGGACGACGTTGAGCGGGCGGTGCCACAACGGCGTCGTGGCTGGCATCATGGCTGTAGTCATCGTCGTTTTGGTTTCGAAGGAAATTGTAAAGTGAACTTGAGCAAACCGTGCACTGTCCACGATGGCCACACAGGCGACGTGACACACCACATGTTTCGTGCGACCTTCGAAGCGGTGGCAACATACCACCACTGCGCTAATTAGGTCACCGTGCCCCCTCCGTCGTGGCGCCACGCGAGAATGGAGGCCAAGATACCACGTTCGATTGTGGGATTGGTGCGTTTAAATTTCGGCGCACCAATCACGTACTGTCTGAACTGAAAATCGGACTTGTCCGAATTGAGGGCGGTGGTAATGTCGACGCGGTAAGCCATGAGTAAACAGCGCGACGCCAACGGCTCCATGTGCCAACATCGTCCCACGCTCGTTGATTCGGTTGCAGTAGCCTCCGACGACGATGACTCCACGCCGCCTCCTCTGCTTTATGTTTCCGACACGTCGTCGCACCTACTAGTGCGTGTCGGGTACTAAACGTTCTTGATGATGGCACACACGACGCCAATCGAACGGGCCGCCGTGATGAAAGTGCACAGTGTAGCATCATCTGTAGCACCAGCTCAAGCTGTACATGGCATGTAGTGCAATCGAGGACTACGCAGTTCTAGTCGGAGAGAGTAGATAAAGCCCAGTGCCAATGCACTGTCGACGAACGAGTTCGCGGGGTTCTCAAGAACCAGCTCTGGCGTCAACAGTAGACGTACTCGGTACAAGGTAGAGAAATGAATCGCCCATGCAATATTAGTAGTTTGTCTAACACTGCTTCGTAGTACAAGGCCGTAAAGGTTATGACCTTGGTAGTACTTCACGGAAACGCGACACTGACCGGCGACCTATGGTTCATCGGGGACGCGTACCCGTGGTCGTTGGCTTGGATGATCTTGACCACATTCGTGCGCCCTGGTGCACCCTCGACGAGTCCATGCAAGACGACGACGATGTCCATGCTCGCGATCCAGCGCTGGCGCTTGGCGTACTCGATCGCAATGTCGATGAGGTCGTCCGTGCCGCTCATCGAAGCCACTTTGAGGCACGTGATGCCGCTAGTGCACATTCATTTTCCCACCAACTGCCTTCATGATTTGCTCGTACCGTGAAAGACCCGCGAGTTGCCGTGCGACGTACGGCTCGGCCGTCACCGCCAGGACGCGCGCCGCTGGCCGGTATTTGGCGATGCATTTGGCAGTGTAGCCCGAGTCGGTAAGCGCCACGATGAGCTTGGCCTGGATATCAATCGCCGTCTCAACGGCAGACGAAGCCATGGCCTCACATATGCTAATGGGCTTGGGCGTCGCATCGCGCAGGTTGGTGTACAGCGTCGGGTAATGCAGCGAGCCTACGTCGACCGTGAAGCGGAATTGCTACACAATGCTACCTTCCGCTTCGATGCAAATGCGTGCCATGGTTGCGACTGCCTCGACCGGGTATTGACCTTTGGCTGTCTCTCCAGAGAGCATGACGCAGTCTGTTCCATCGAGGACGGCGTTGGCCACGTCTGTGCACTCTGCGCGGGACGGCGTCGGGCACTTCGTCATGGATTGGAGCATCTGTGTTGCGTTAGCGATTGAAAATGCAAACGCCCGCACCTGCGTTGACGTCACGACGGGCTTGTTGGCGAGGTTGGCTTTGCGAATAATGAGTTTTTGCGCCATGAAAACTTGCTCCGGGGCCAGCTCCATGCCGAGATCACCGCGCGAGACGTGGACGCCATCGGCTTCCGCAATGATCTCATCAATGTTTCGTAGCGCCTCGAGGCTCTCGATCTTGGCGTGCACGCGAATGTACTTGCCAGCGTCCCCGAGACAGGCTCGAATCGCACTATCGAGAGCTCAGTCCAAATAATACTAGAATGCTCGTACCGGACGTTGGCAGCAGACCGAACAAACGAACCAGAGACAATGTCGACGCGCTGTGGGATTGCAAATTCGCGTAGGTCGTGCTCGTCCTTGGTCGTGATACCTGGGATGCGCAGTGCAGCCCCTACGTTGTCGTGAGACAACCAGAGTACCACGCGAGTCGAGAGGTACCGGGCAGATTCATATTTTTGCGCTCGTCGAGCACGTAGCTGTTTTGAACTTGCGTCACGACTTGGGTTGCACTTGTGCACGCCAGCACTTTGAGCGTGAGCCCGCCGTCGTCGACGAGGATCGTGGACCCGGGTGACACGGACGTCGCGAGATGCGCGTAATTGCATCCGATGCGCGTCGCGTCGCCGTCCTGAAATGCCTCATCGGCCACGAGTACGAGCTCCTGGCCCGAGACGAGGTGCACGGGCGTGTGGTCTTTCAAAAGCCCTACAGAATCGACATACGACGATGATTTCGACAACGTTCCAGGCAACGACGGCAATTACCCGTTCGGATTTCAGGGCCTTTGGTATCGAGGAGCACGGCACAGTGGCACCCGGGGCGCATCTGCATCGCGTCGCGCAGGTTGGACAGCGACCGCGCATGCAGCGCGTGGTCGCCATGGGAGAAGTTGAAGCGTGCGACGTTCATGCCAGCGTCGAGCAGTCGCCCAAGCATTTCCGTCGACCAGCAGCTTGGACCGATAGCACAGATGATCTTGGTTTGGCGAAAGCGGCCGAGCGTGTAGCTGCGGTCTAAGATCTGCGCAAGCGAGATGCCAACCTTGTAGATCTACATGTCCAGCGAGCGTGGATGAGGACGAGGCTGCGCTGCCAACGGCACGCACCGGCTTGTCGCCGTTGGTCTGGTTCTCGTGCAGCTGCGACGACACGATGCGCGGCCGGTGCTCCCAGCCCCCGCGGAGCGTGAGCCGGTGGCGCGGCGACAAGGTCTGGTTCTCGCTGTGCATGCCACAGGCTTCCAAATCTTTGGCATGTTTCTTTTTCTTCAAAAAATAAATAAATTCCAGCCAATCGCACAACAGCAACGGCCCACGGGGTGCGGGGCGCCACCAACGACGACTACGTGAACGACTACGTGAACGAGCGATGCCATCCGATACGTCACAACGAACACGACGTTGGTGGTAAGCGTGCGACGAGCCGCGGCTGATCCGCATTCGTTGGGCGAAGGATATTTGCGGCCTAGGTGGACCGAGGCAGTCCTTCCACGAACGCAGAGTGGACTGGACCAAAACGCTAGCATCTGCCAAGCAGTTCACTCGTGCAGTGCAAAAGGCTCGCCCACCCAACAAGAATCCCTCGTGACTACAGTACCGGTATCCTGGCTGCCAACAGTCGCGCGAGGTAATCGTGAGGCTGCTCGAATCTCGCCGACGCAACTTCAAGGAGATGTGTTACTGCACGGATGTTCACGTCGTGGGTTACTCGACTGTCCGTTGGCGCTCGTCGCCAACCATGGACGGGTGGATAGATACCAAAGCCCCATCGCAGGGGCTGTGAGCGAACGCCCGGGAGGAGCGCGTCGAAGGAGTTCATTGTCATTTGTCTCTACCATTGCCATTGGCTTCTTCCTCCCAATCGTCGATGACGACAGCGCGCGCGTGGTCGGACCAGATGGGCGTCCCCTGGTACCCGTCCCCAACTTCAACTGATCCGTCCGTTCGATGGTCAAGCTTCAGGCATCTGTGGCTTGATGTCTCTCTTGCCATGGAAGCCCAGGAAGGAAGGATCATAAATAGTACTAATGTTAAGATGGGCTACCGGGCCTACACGACGAGTGGTCCGGCGGTCATCGCACCAGTGCTATGTCGTCGAGGCCGCGTGGTCGGCGCAAGCACCATGTCTTTGCAGCTGCCGAGATGGCGGTGGTCGTCTTGCTGATTATCGCAAGTAAGCGGTAGTTGGAAGTGTACGCGCTTGGTGGGTCTCGCTTTCCGCGTCTTTCGGAGGCTCGACTTGCCCGTGTGCACAACCTTGACAACGATGCGCGGCAGAACGTCAATGGCCGCTTCGTCGGTGTCGTCGTCCGTGGTGCACTCGTCACCAAGGGCAGGCTCAAGGCAGGCTTGGTACACGCCGTAGCTGAGGACGACGAGCGTCGGGATCAAGACCGAGTAGCGCGGGAGGATCATGCCAGGTGATGTGACGGCGTCCGTGCAAAAGATGAACTAACGGCAACTTCGAAAGTCGGGTCTTGTATACAAACCACGATCGACCAATGAAAAATTCGCATGGCACTGACACATCCCCAAAGCCACGCTGTGACGTGGCAGCGCCGTGTCGCAGCACCTCTACCGCAGTAGGAGGGTTTGACAGAGCCTTTATGGTTGATAGTGACCAAAGCTGCTGTGGTTGGAGTTGAATAACGCATCCATCCAGTATCGTTGTAAGACGAAAGGTGCCCTCCAACACGGCAACAAGCGTGGATGTGAAAGTCGTTTGGAGCAAGATATCGAAACAAGGTGGTAGGTAGTTGCGCCAAAAATATGTGGCAGCTTGTCTTTGTCTTCGATTTTAGACGGTGTCTTTACCACGCGGGCGCACGGGCTGCGAAACATAGATGACCGTTGGGTCGTTTGGGTCCACGTACGCCTTGCGCTGCTTCTCTGCAAACGCCTCGTCGACGAGCCCCGCTGGATGTACGTATAGGGTTTGGCGATGGTGCAAGTCGTATGTACCGTGCTTCTTGTGCTCCATGAGGCGAAGAAAGATGGGCAAGAACGTGCCCGTGCCACCGTTCGGAAACGAAATACGCCACTCGATCGGCGTCGCCATGTCTCCTTCGTCCGTGCCCACCTAGTTGTTTCGGCGCCTCAAGGTTGCATGCTGTTGAGTTACCGGAAAGACGTCGCCAGTAATGTTGCACGAGCCAAACATTGGTTGGTTGAACTTGTCGTCCGCAATGTTATCCAGTGGGATTTCCTGGGTTCGCGTTAGGGTATACATGGCACGTTGAACAAACGCGCTCACAAAAGCTTCAAAGAACCGGCCGTGCTGCGTCGCGGCCTTGTCGGCGCAAAACACGAGCCGATGCGTCGTTATGTAGATGCGGCCGGTGGCCTTGAACTTGTGCCTACTCCCGCCATCGCCACTGCACGTGTACTGGGAATGGAACGCACCCGTCGACAAGGCACTGGAAAGCAATCGACGGCCGCTCTAGGATGAACACTTCGTCCGTGTTGGCTAGCGGCAGTGCCTTCCCGTTGTCACTGAAGAGCGCAGGCGTGAAGGACATGGTGTTTTCGCAGTGAAGCAACGTAAATTTAGGTCACGGAAGGTTTCGCGCATGAGTGCCGAACAATCACGCGCAACCCTCAAAAAGATCGGCCCAGCGATGCGGTTCCAAACCAAATCGAATGCACTACCTCGGTTTTGCGTCGTTTGCCCGAAATGTACATGTAATACTGTACTGGGCTATGAGATCCATTCAATTTCATTGTTCTGTACAATGCATTATATTTGGACAGCATGGTGCGAGGCAGAAGCGATCACTTTTGGTCCAGGGCAGTCCAGGGTCAATAATCAGAGAGATTTTTGGAGTCAACAATCGTTTGTTTATCCAACCCAGAGCCAACGTGCCTCGATTAGCCAATCAATCCACATGAATTTTCGAAGCGCTGCACGAGGCTGACAATGACGCCGTGGGCTCATCGGGAGGAATTGGATTTCCAGCCCGTGCGGCCATTGGTCGCTTTTACCCAGGGTACCGTACGTACCGGTAGTATCACTTATTTCGCCCGCATAATATCGGTAGAAAACGCAAGCAGTGTCGTTGTTTGACCTCCACTGGCTGTAGTGCTGGAATACCAGCGGTTCCCGCTCGCTCGACAACAGCAACTTTGGCGCCAAATCGATCCTCTTAAAACACATCATCTATGATATGTAATATGCAATATGTGAATATGTGTACATTAAAACTCTTTTTTCAAATGCAACGGGAGCTATTATAGTGTGAAACGATATACTGTGCGACCACATCTTTCAAGCCGGGAGCGCGCTGCAAGAATCAAAGCGTCATTCATGCGTCGTCTTCAGGCACTACCTGGTTTTTCTTTGCTCCGTACCGAGTACGCCAAGCGAGGCTTGCATCACAGCGTCTTGTAAAGTGATGACGAACGAGCTTGACTTTTATAGTGTGAAGCGTGTGAAATAGAGTGAATTGTATCCGAAATCGATCACAACCAAGCTTCGGGAAGGAACGTCGAGATGCTGTCGTTTTCTCGTGCGCCTGCCATCGTGGCCCGCGCGCTCGTTCGCTGCAAGAAGACCAAGGCCTCGCCGAGCGCCTCTGGTACATGCGTACATGGAGGTCAGCTCTAGGTGCTCACTGTCGCTTCTGCAGGCGACAAGGGCCAAGCGTTGCAGATGGCTATTCGCCAGATCGAGAGCAGCTTTGGCAAGGGCGCTGTGATGCAACTCGGCGCTAGGTAAGTGCATACTCATGGCTTCGTTCGCCCTATGCGTAACCTTGGCTAGCGGTGTTGCCCACGACATTGATGTTGTGTCTACGGGCTCGCTCTCGTTGGACGTAGCACTCGGCATTGGCGGACTGCCGCGCGGGTCTCTCATAAGCGACGCCGTATCCACGAGAGAGCTCACTGCTGCATAAAATAGGCGTGTGATTGAGGTGTATGGCCCCGAAAGTTCGGGCAAAACGACGCTTGCCCTCCACTGCATCGCCGAAGCCCAGAAGAACGTAATTCCATGCTCTTGCCACTGTACGAGAGCCAGACTGGTGCATTGATTGTTTAGGGTGGAACTTGCGCCTTCATCGACGCCGAGCATGCAATCGACGGCCACTATGCCAAGGCTCTAGGTACGTCAGAGAATGAAACAACAATCGCTGCATTTCACGCACGCTTGATTAGGCGTCAACATTGACGAGCTTTATGTGTCGCAGCCCGACTCTGGAGAGCAAGCGCTCGAAATTGCTGACACGCTGATTCGATCGGGAGCCATCGACGTGGTCGTCGTTGACAGTGTCGCCGCGCTAGTACCGCGCGCTGAACTTGAGGGCGAGATGGGCGACCAGCAGATCGCGCTGCAGGCACGCCTCATGAGCCAGGTATGGCAAATTCCAGCTCCGCGTTCTCCGTTTCATTGGCATGCACAGGCGTTGCGCAAGCTCACTGGGTCTCTCTCCAAGTCGAACTGCATGATCATTTTCCTCAACCAGATCCGCCAAAAGGTTGCAACCTTTCTTTGGAAACAGCCTTCACTTGCTTAGGTTGGCATCATTTTCGGGTCTCCTGAAGTCACATCCGGCGGCACGGCGTTGCGCTACTATGCATCGAGTACTCTATTTTGGACTGCGTTGAGCTCAAGTTTCCTTGGCCGTAGTTCGCCTCGATATTCGCCGCAAGACGCAAATCAAGGAAGGCGAGAACGTACACGTTGCCTCTCCCCACGTAGTCCTAAGCGTCGGTACATCATTAGGTCATTGGCAACGAAACCGTCGTCAAGGTGGCCAAAAACAAGCTCGCACCGCCCTTCAAGGTCGCCAACTTTGACGTGATTTACGGCAAGGGCATCGACCGCATGTCCGAGATCGTACGTTCCTCAAGGGACAGATACACACGAAGACGCGATGTATGCTTCTAGCTCGACCTCGGTACGCAGGTTGGCGCCATGAAGCGGTCCGGTTCGTGGTATGCCTACAACGATGGTACTCGATATATTTGGGCACTAGAAAGCTTATATACCTGTACGACTAGAGCCAATTGGGCAGGGACGCAGCAAGGTCTTTGTCGTGGCGCAGAAGGTTGTGACTTATGCGGTTGATGACGTAGGCCAAGCAGTTCCTTGAGGCGCACCCAGACATCGCGCGGACCATCGAGGCTCAGATTCGCGCTGCACTTCTGACGCGCGACACCCCGCTGGAGCCTGTATCGGCGACTGTTGAACCCACCCCTGGCATCGACGTCGATGGGGTCGACATTCACGCTATTATGGCCGAGGTACACGACATGGAACAAACCGTGCAAATCCAAGAAGACTCCACGACTACGACCCGATAATCACTGCGCTGGTCAAGCGCTAAGCCCGGATCATACAGATGGCGGAGTCTTAGATATTTGTTCTTAGTTTTGCTCGTCCTGGATCCCTTGTTCCGTGATCGAGTACATAGCTTCAGCTTCAGGAAGGATGGGCGAGTCGATCACCTTCATGACCCGGTTTTCGCCACGGGCCTTCTTGAGACGCAACCTACGAGCGTCGATTATAGGACCGCCCACTCGCGATGAACGATCCTCTACCGCGTGCACGAGGCGTGCGCCATGATGTTGCCGCCAATCGGCTGCAGCGGATCTTTCGAAAACATCCCCGAGTCCGGGTTCGCTGTCATCTACGACGTCTAAGTGACTGCACTGGATCCTTAGTGTTGTGGTGTACCTGGTTGGTGATGACAACAGCGACACCAAATTCGTCTGCCATGCGCGTGAGGGCGCGAAGAAACCTACGAAAGTTCGCGCGCCTGGTTGATGAAAAATATGTTGCGTGTACTTGGCCAATTCTTGCTGACGAGCAGCCAGCTCGCCGCGCCCCGAATAGTCGGTGCGGAAGAGCGCAGTGGCACTGTCAACTACCACGAGCGCGTATCGAGATTCTGCCATCATCGCGGATGCTTGCGAAAGTAGCTGCATCTGGTGCTCCGAATTGTAAGCACGAGCAAACGCGACGTTGTCAAGGACACTGTCGCCTAGGGTTTGATCGTGGTATGAGTACTCGACACAATAGATCATGCGCCAAGTACCGTCGAGGCCGTAGCGTTCGGCTATCGCGACAAGGCGCTGCGGCCGGAACGTCCCTTCAGTGTCAATGTACAAGGCTTTGCCTTCACCTCCGCCCTTGTCGACGGGAAGTTGGCAAGTAACGCACAGTTGATGGCAAAGCTGCGTCTTCCCAGTGCGAAACTCGCCGAACATTTCGGTAATGGAGCCTGTCTCGAAGCCTCCGCGGAGCAATTCGTCGAGTGCTGTCGAGCCCGTCGTGAGGGTGATGAGGTCCTTACGACTTTGGAGCACGTCGGAGGCCTAGCACGACATAAAGATCAGGTGCCTGTTTACCGTGGATCGCCTAAGGCCCACCGTCGTAAAGCCCACGTTGACCATCTCACGAGACGCCTTTAGCATCTTGTCAGCCTTGGCTTCGGTGATTCCCTTGATCGCGATGAGCTGCTTCTTGGTGGCCATCGCGATCGCGTCAACCGTGTGGAAGCCGGCGTCCTTCAGCTTGTTGATATCCGAGGTATTGATCCCCGACTGCTCAAGCGCATTGATCCCGCAGGGGCCCTGGATCTGTGCTTGACCCATGTCTTCCTCGACCATCTCGGCATCATGCTCATAGCGCGCTCCTTGCATCATGCCACTCATGCTTCAGGTAGTGCTTGAGCTGAGCTTGAAGATGGAAAATGTTGGGAACTGAGGACGCAAATACCCGTCAAGTCATAATATTATTGCTCTAAGATATTTTTACTTCATCAGTTTTAAAAAAACGCGGCAATGTATCGGACGTGGGCGTTCCCGCCCACAATTTCAGATAAAAAATATTTTAATTCCAGACGCCAAACGTGTTCCCGCCAACTGTATACTTTAACCCGGCGTTGAAGGTCAAACACGTTTTACTCTCCACGGCTGTGTTCCACACACTCAAGCTCGCCTACGACCCAGCCGAGGAGATGGCGGTAAGCACATACTCACGAACCAATTGATCGGCGTGCGCACTGTGGTCCTCATAAGCACCCTAGCTCACACTGCGTCATTCCGCATTGTTGTTGGAGACGTCTGAGTGTAGGTCTTGTCGTCACTGTTTGTCCATCGATGTGCTTAAGTCCCGACGCAATCTTCCTTTGCCAAGAGATCAATGGAGATGTATAGCAAGCAGCTCAACGCGATCATTCACATGCCCACAAATTGGACCTGCAATGGTGAATCAAGCCGTTGGCCTCTCTGTTTAAACAAAAAACGTATTACCGTCTTATTTTTACGCGTTATTACAGCTCAAATAGTGTTTGAAGAGCTGGGCAGCGATGGACGAGGAGCTCGAGCAGAAGATGACCTTTGTCCTCGCGGACATTGACGCTCAGCTCAGCAAGGCGCACAAGGAAGCGACGCTCCTTTTGCGCAGCGTCCGGCGCCACGGAGCAACGACGCGTCAGATGAACGCGCACTGCCTTCTCTTCCAGGACCTCTTTGCACAGCTTCAGGACCCGATGACGGCCAAAGCCCCGACCCGAGCGCACGAGGCTGCCTCAGCGCACGACACGAGCGTGCACAACGAGTCGATGGCTGCATCCTCGGACGGCGCCGACGAGCAGTACGACTCGTTTCTGATGCACGACATTGACGAACAAGAGGTGCGCCTCAAGACGACTGTGCTCGAGCAAGAGAAGAAGGCGAGTCACAAGATTGCGAGAGCAACGGCGACGACATCGTCGCTAAGCGAGAGCAACTTATCTTTGGACGTCCCGAGCCCCGCCATGCTCCGAACCCCCTTTATGCGCAAGCCACCGGCGGCAACCCCGACAAATGCCCCGTCGCTCACAGAGATCCACATGCCGACGCCCGAACTCCCAACGCTCTCGAGCAACGTCCAAGTGCTCCAAGCGCCGACGTATTCTCGATCGCCGACACGGCCAGTGCGATCGAACACATCGGCGTCCGCGTCGTCGCTCCAGGTCGAGCTTACAACGACAACACCTATGCGATACACAGGCGCTAGCAACGGTCTCGATACGAGTGGCCTCTCGAGCCAAAACGCGCGGTCGCCCGAAATACCTGTGCTCTCGCGTCATGTGCAGCTGCAGCACACTCCATTCAACGAGGAAGACGACGACGGGGCGGAGGAGGCCAAGACGCCATCGACACCAGAGCGTCACTTTACGTCGTCGGCGATCAAGGCCACTAGTGGCTTCAACAACGTGCTGCTATCCCCGCAGTGGGCACCAACGCCTTCGGCAAATCTCCGTCGCCGGTTCAGCGCCGTCGCCGAGCTCACCTCGACGCCCCGAAAGACGCCTCGAAAGACACCGTCCAAGTCGAACGACGAGGACGCGCTCCTGTCGCCGCACCTGGGATCGCCGCTGCTAAGCACAAAGCTGCGCGTCATGACGCCCCACACGCCACTCTCGAACCGGATTGCAGGCGCTGACACGTCGTACCAACCTGCCATGGACGCTCTGTATGCTGCGTCGCCAAGCGAGCCGATTCCGGCGTTCGACCTCTCTCTGTTTCCCGTCGCCTTCCAGGTACGACACCTTTTGCGTTCGCGTTGTCTGACTCTTGTTGTCTTGGCTAGCGCGGGCTCGCGGCGTATCAAATGACGACGCTGTATAGTCTCTTCCGCGAAGATGCTCACCAAGCCCTCGTACGTCCTATGTCGGTCTCGTCAGCACTGAAGCATTCTTGCACGTAGACACTGACTGAAGTGTCCGAGAAAATGACCGACTGCGAGCTCGAGCGGCTCGAAATTTTCCTCGACACGCTTGTGTCGCGACGACTGCTTCGACCGTTTGTCGTCGAAGGCACCATGTACTGGCAAGTTTCAACGACATAAGGCAGGTTGATGTGTCGTTTGTGCGGTGCTTGCTCATTTGAGCGATGGAAACGTTCTTTGAAAGAAGACGTGGACCATCGTAGCGATAAGGGTCCAGGACGATAGTACAATCAAAACCACAAAATTACCCTAACGTTAGATTCACATAAACCATCTCGAAAATCATCGAGGGGTGTTGCAACGCGTGTCCTGTCACCAAAGCATATCTGGTCGCCATTGGCTTCCCACGGGACCACCTTGGTACCTTGACCATCGCGGTAGCTACCGGCACCATCTTACGAATTAGCACCGGGTTCAAGTCGCATATCCTCAAGCGAGTCAAAACTATACCAGAGTGACATGGCGAGTGGTCGGATGAATCTGACTTTCCGTGCAGCAACGGCCAAGTTGCCGTTCGCCCGATGACGTCGTAGGGCTCGGGCTCTGATGCCATCGTGCACGCCATCCGCATGGCTGTATCCGGATATCTCCGGATCAAAGTCGGTCGCAGATCTCGAGATGGCGGCTGCGAGTCGGTTGGCGCCGTCCGCGTCGATGGTCTCGATGGCCTCCGAGACGTCCGAGGCGACGAAGGAGAAGCAGCCTCTTTTCCGAGAACTTGCTTCTGCGGCGCAGACCGGCGCGTCCAATTTCATCCTCGCCTACAACGTACGCGCCGGCATCGCCGTGCTCGTGCGCATTGTGCTGCTATTGCAAAAGAGGTACTATTGCGCTTGGTCGAGGCGCGAAAAGAACCACCGATCGACGCTGTAGACAGTTCAAAGCCATCGCAAATCTCAAGGTACTACTGAGCGAGAAGCACCTTAGCTTTCGCGTCGAGGCTGTCTCGATGGGCCTTTTCATCGGCTGGTTTACCGGCGGCTACCAAGCGCTCAAAGCCATTATCCGGCGTCTACGCCACGGCAACGAAGAAACGGAGGCTCTCGGCGAAGATCCCATGACGACGGCGCTGGCGGGTACGCTGGCAGGCTCGGCTGTCGTGTTTGTCGAGCCCGAGCGGTACAAAATTCTCGCCCCGTATCGAGTGTCTGTCGTCTGACGCAGCAGTTTAGTCGTCGGTCGCTGGCGCTTTATGCACTTGCACGTGCGCTTCAGTGCCTCTACAACAGTGCCAAGTCTCGCGACGCTTGGCACTTTTGGGGCAGCCAGTGGGCCCACGGTGACTCATTGCTCTTCGGTCTCACTTCCGCCCAGGTACACTTGGATCCGTTTGTTTGCAGCAAAGAATGGCGCTAGGTCATGTACACGTTCATCATGCGGCCATCTATCTTGCCGAAAGAGTACTCGAGCTTCATTCAGCGCACTGGCCCCGTCGGCTACAAGGTTCTCAACTTTGTGCAGCGCAACACGAGCGGTCTGCCGGTCGAGCCGGCGGAGATCACGCGCTTCCTCTCCGACAAGGGATCACCGTTTGTCTATACGAGCACGACCAATCTTCCCAAAGTACGCATGCTATCTGGAGTCCCATTCGATATGAGGTTGTTGCAGTGCATTCCGTGCGGTCTTATCCACCACCCAACGACGTCGTGCTCCTACGGTTTTCTCCTCACGCTCATCAAGGCGATGCGCAGCACCTTGCCGCTTTATATGTCGCTCAACATCGTGCCGCAGGTTGTGCTGCAGTTCCGGCGCTTCCTTCGCACGTAGGACGGTCGCTCCGGGAATTGTATGCTGACGTCATCTCTTAGACCGATCTACTCGCTTTTCCAAGGCGTCGTCGGTGGATTCCGCTCCACGCTCTTCATGGGCTCGTTCGTCGCCGTGTACCAGGCCGCGATATGCGTCTTTCGGTGCCTCTTGAAGCGCGACCATAAAGCCGCTTACTTTGCCGCCGGTACGCATGAGGGCAGAGACGAAAATGGTTTTTAGTCGGACTCTGCTAGGGCTCGTCTCGTCGTTTGCCATCTTCATCGAAGCCAAGAGCCGGCGGTCGGGTACGACGCGAAACGAGGCCTTGTGACGGTAGAACAATCCGATGGTAGAGCTGGCCCTGTACGTACTACCGCGGGCCGTGGACTCTCTCTTCATAATGCTCCGTGACACACGCTGGCTCGCTGATGTACCTTACGGCGAGGTCATGCTCTTTGGTTTGTCCATGGGCGCCATCATGTTTTGCTTTGAGGTATTCTATTGCCTACGATAGCTACAGATGTGCACTCTCGCGTAGCACGAGCGCCAAAACCTGAGCCCGATGGTGCGCAGCCTCCTCGACAGATTCCTCGTCGCGAGCAAGCAGTAAGCTAATAATGTCCCGAAAGAAGCCAACGCTCAATAAAGACTACACTGGTGTACTGTGTTGAGGCTCAATAACCACCTCTGAAATGTTTCCCTCAAAGCTACAATCGACAAGATTCACTCACAATACATTATGGCAGTCGAGTAATGCACCTAGCTCGACTAGCTCGAAGCTCGACACTTAGCAGCTCGCCTTGATCTTCTCGATGGCACGCAAGATGTTCATGCGGCCGTAGCCAAAGTTGTTGTTCGGGTACTTGTCGCCCGGAAGCCCACCGCACGTGAGTGGGTCGTTGATGAGCGACTTGGTCTCGACCGTCTGCGTCAAGAGCGAGTACACTTCGTCATACGTGATGCCGGGCTTGGCCGACACGAGGAGCGCGATGGCGCCCGTCACGTGAGGCGTCGCCATGCTCGTACCGCTCAAGCTCGCGTAGGACGTGTCGCTCGTCTTGTAGCTCGAGCGGACACCTTGGCCGGGCGCTGAGATATCGGGCTTCATGCGGCCAAACTTGTTGGGGCCCTTGCTGCTGAACGTCGCAAGACCGTCCTTGTTGGTCGTGGCTCCGACGCCAATGACGTTATCGTAGTCGCCAGGGCTGAGCACCGTGCCGCAGTTGGGGCCGCTGTTGGCGTTTGCGAAGACGGGGATGATGCCAGCCTTGCGCCACGCGGCCATTGGGCCCTTGTAGTACGGCACGTCCGGGATCTCGTCGTCATCGCCCCAACTGTTGTTGACGACATGGGGTGCGAGGTCGCACCGCGGGTTCTTGCCTTCGGCGTCGTGCGGGCAGAGCATGAACTGCGCACAAGCCACGAGCACAGACTCGGGGCACTTGCCGCTGGGAAGGCAGCCTTCGCACGAGATCCACTTGGCATCGGGCGCGACGCCGACACCGTTGCCGCCGACAGACGTGCCGACCGTGTGCGTACCGTGGCCGTTGTTGTCGACAGGGGTAGGCGATCGACCTTCGGGCTGAAACCAGCCGTTGAGGCTGCGGAAGTTGCCCTTCAGCGCTTCGTGTGTGGCACGAGCACCCGTGTCAATGGAACCAACGACGACACCCTGGCCACGGTAACCCTTGGCCCACACCTCCGGCGCCTGGATGATGTTGAGGCCCCATTCTGTGGTGTTGGCGGCAACGGCTTCGGACGTCGAGATCTCGGAGGTGATGAGGCGGCCCATGGCTTCGGGACGGACGAAGGCGACCTCGGGCAGCTTCGCAAGAGCATTGATGAGGTCCTTCTCGGCGCTTTTAATGAAGAGGGCGTTGCTAATCCAGAGCTGCGTTGGCTTGGCCGCAGACTCAAGCTTGGAGCTCTGAATGAGCTTGAGCGCGGACGCTTGCGCTGAGGCGGCGTTGTCAACAAGGGTCGTCCGGACCAGCTCGGCGCGTTCCGCACGCGACGCTAACGACGCTGCCTCAAGCTTGGGCGCGGCGAGCGCTTCTTCGGCAGTGCCCTTGAACTCGACGATGATGTTTTGGGCAACCGTGGAGGACTCCAGCTTCTGGAGAAGCTTGGGGTGAATCTTGGAAACGTCGGCGGCAACGACACTGGCCACGGTCGCAGCGATGAGTGCGCGAGCGACGAAGACCATAGTGATTTCTTTGTGGCGAATAGAACAATGGTAGTTGATGCCGGCGAGAGCAGTCGACACGCAATTCTCAGACACTAGCCAAATCAGATGCGATGTGCGTTCCCAGACAAAGGACTGATATTGCGCATCAGATATATAACAGGTGGTGGTATCCATTGCACACCAAAGACGCACGAACAAGCCCTTGAATTCACGAGTCCCACGCACCAAGCTTATTCGCTGTGTTTCAATGTTGTGGAGTGTCTGCTCCTAGCTTTGGATTGCTTATCGCCGTGAAATAGGTGGCGGGAATACCCTTTTCATCCGAGACGCTTAAACAGAGCATAGCGCAGGACAGAGTATCTTTGTTGTCAGATGACGATACTGACACAGCCGTCCACGTGAGGAGGACATGCGTAGAGATGGCAACGGCAGAGTTGGTATGTTCGTAACCAGCTTTCATGGAGGAAGGGTCAACGAACGAGCCTAAAATATGGCTTGTTTCTAAAAGCGCACCAACGACGTAATAACGCTGTGAATGTACTGTTCAGTTGCTGCTTCGGCAGGGAGTTAAGCCGCTCGCACCGGTATCACGATTCACTTCAATGCTTAGATGAGGGCTGCACAACCACAGAAAGCGTCTTGAAGCTACTCTGCACGACGTCGAGCCTCATCTGATTTGTTGGGATTAGATCGAGTAAACCCATGTAAAGTTTGACAGTGGTAGCTACCAGCCGAGCTATTTGGGGGCAACAACCGCGTTGGTGTTCGCCATGCCAGAGGTGGGCGAGGCGGGTTAGCTTTGACTGATACTACAAATTCGTGGATGGCTCGAGCTCGCTTGCTCAGCGCCTGGACCTTGTAACGTGTGCGTGCTTTCATGTCTTAATCTTCTGGAACGCTCGGCCTTGCGCGGAAAACCTCTTCCACTTCTTCGAAGGCACTAGGGAAATGTGGAGCCCACATACCGGTATTGGACCGCGGGAGAAAATAATGCGCCAAATTATTCTGCCAAATCCGAGATAAGGATTCAAAGTGCAAAGTGTGCTCTAAAGCCTTTCACACCCACAAGACCCTCACTCTCCTGCCCGCTGCGGCGTTTGCAGTGGAGATGTCGATAGTGCCCTTTAACACTCCAAAAACCAGGGAAAAAACGGACGACGTTCTACTTGACAACTCCCCTGAAATCGACGCTTTCCATGCAATTAAATTTCCCACATTCAGAAGACAAAATTGTTCTCAATAATGCATTGCAATAGAACAATTGCTATTAAAACCAGGCTAAGCGGAGTATGGTACAGGAACGCCCACA